CACTGGCCTCAGGGGTGACCTTCAAATCGGTCGCTCGTCATGATATACCCTGCGACGCTATAGATGCTCTTTTTGCGCCGCGGGACAGTTGGGACGGAATGTTGAATGCTCTGAGCTATCCAAACATGTCATGATCTTACTGCGGTTTTTATTTTGACTCGGAAATAACGCCTAGCAGATACGATAACAAGTATTGAGAATGAGCAACAAAGGATAACTTTGGTATCTTGATTGTGTTCATCAAGGGATTGGACCGACCCGCCAAAGGAGTTTTCAAGGTGTTTTTTTTCTCCGAAGGAATACATTTGGTGTTCCAATACCACACTGGTGCTTTTACTCTAAACATAACGATGTGACCTAAGGCACTGCGATGGGTGTCGGTACCAGCACCGCGTAGCCATCTTCCACGAGGCGCATGCGCGACCAGAACCATACAGGATCTTGATGGTGCAAGAGCGTACTTCTGGAAAAGAAAGATTCCAAATGAGATAGGGAAGACACCGTAGCATTCCACCTATTTTCTTTTTTTGGGGGGGAGGGCAGGCAGTCCCAAGTCTGTTTTGTGCTGCGTCTGCGGTTGTCTGACCCATGGCAGGTGTTTGGCAGCCAACCAGCCATGAGCGGCGAACGAGACTACACGTGTGTGCGCGTGACGTGCCGCGCCGGCAGGCTGATGTGCTTGTCATACCGCGTCGGAGCAGGAGCGGTACTGCGCTTCGCGACGATTCTCCGTTGCGAGTTGTCGCACTATGTGCAGCTGCTCGCCGCCACCCGCGGAATCTTGCGCTATGCTCGGCGCGTCCCAGCTGATACCGGTGGAGCAGCTCGTGCGGGTTGCCGCGCAGCCCTCGGCTCGTTCTCAGGATATTTGCGCACGGTTTGCTCACCTTTGTGGTTACGCAAACTAAACCGGCTTCTCTATTAAGTTGGTGCATAATCGAGCGCTTTTTAAGATGTAATCCGAGGCTTTTGATTGGATGATGAATTGTCGAGCGAGCTAATCAGTGCTTGTTGCGTGAGCCTGACCCGACCATCGTGAAATTCCGAGAGAGCGACAAAATGTTTGCGGCCAAAGCTTCACGTGCCGCAATGTCCGACACGGGTAGGCCTGACGTCACGTGACTTTTAGCGCTGTCCCTGCCACCGGCCACAGACCATGCCAGTCAGGGGCAAGTAGGAGGCGCCTGAGCCGCCCCGAACCTACACCGCCACGGGTGGGTGAATTGGAAAGGGTGGTAAGTCCTCATGTGCTAAAAAAGCTCACTTTGTGCTAATTTGCTCGCTGTGTATTACTGTAGGGACTTATGTGGTAGTTTGTGGGACCTTTGTGCTTTCTTAAATTTACCTATTTCACTTCGAATGCTGACCATTGTTTACCTGCTTTTGTGCGGACAGTAGCTCACTTACCTTTATGATGTTACTTACTTCGCGCTAATTATGGTATATTTTTGTTCTCTGGAAATCATGCAAATTCTTGGACGTTTGTGACGCAAATGGTATCATAATCCTGATAACAAACTGGTAATAGGGTGGTGGCGGGATTATTCACTTCGACGCAACGTTTTGCTTAGACACGATAGAGCCAAGTAAGCGGTAGATGAGATGGCGGATTCTGTACACGCGTACCCAGACGCGGCGGCGAACCTGACGCTATGGCAGCACGCCGTCAGGCGTGGGGCTCGTTTACGTTAGCTGCCTGAGAACCCACGCACGACAAAATATATGCGTGTGGCGAGGCAGGACCGCGTGGCGTGACGTCACGTCGCCGCGTGGCACGACGTTGACGCCACCGCTCGGGCGTCACGCGGTCCTGACGCAACTGAAGCAGTGCTGCCGTGTGCCGGTTGGTACTGTGGTCAGCCTGTACTTGCAGACCCAGCGTCTGTTCTGGCTGGGCTCCGTAAACGAACCGGTCGAGGCCGCGTGTGAACTCTTCGCTGCCACAGTACCACACGTGTTGTCGCAGTCGCCAACAGCTCTCGCGGTTCAAATGAAAGCGTCGGGGGGGCCGGCGCGGGGGTCGCTTCCTCAGCAACGTCGTGCAGCCGCGCGCGCGTGCTAAGTCCGCGGCATTGTTGTAAGCGCGTGAGCCGGTTGAGAATGGAACTAGTGCTGCTTGAGGGTGCGATTGTGTTATTCCCAATGGGGGAGAGATTTTGTCGTGAGAAGTCATTCATGACTGAAGTCATATCATGACTGACGTCATATCATGACTTCTCACCGATTGCGACTGATGATGGCTGATGCGACTGATGCGACCGTTGCGTGATGCGATACAGGTCCTTTATTCGGTTAACGTGCTGGGACTTGCAAACATGGCTGATACGACCATTGCGTCACGCGTGGCGGGATTGCAAAGCCTAAACGTTTGAAGCAAACAATCCTTGGGCAGCGACCTTTGCACGCCCTCCTACGTACAGATAACAGAGTCTCAACAAAGTTCAGTGCTGTGAAGTGGCAGACTTAAGCTATGTCTGGGGACACTAAACCCCCTCTGGTATTGAAGGATCTCAAACTTCATGGGCCTGCTGAATTCGCTTTAGAGGCTTGCCAAAGGTTGAAAGTAGTAACAAGTTTTTTGGCAAGTTTTTCCTGTAATGTTTTTTTAAACACGTACCTGTTTTTCTTGCTTAATGAACGCTCAGCAACACCATGACATATCATGGCTCTTTTCCTCCCTTCTAAAGGGAAAATGCTAATTAACTTGTGACTTATGGCCTCGCCTCTGTGACCCAATGCTTTGTGGGGATCCGAATAGAAAAGCAGCAATAGTTCAAGCTCTCAAATCAGAGCTTGTGCAATCCCATCTTAAGCCTTATACAGGATTAACAGGGGCGCTGCAAGTAGTATCGTCCGAGGGCTAGGAGGAGCACAGTAGCTTGGATAGTGACCTCCCCTGCGAGGACCGCCCCTCACAAATCACGAGATATGACATACTTTATTTCGACGAGCCACATTTTCCTCGGTTTTTATAAGTTGATGCCGGTAAGGAGCGTGCATTTGAGTGACCCTCATGGGTTGAACACTCAGGAGACCCTGATCTGTAATTGACGAGTTGGACGATTGTGTACCTTTCCTGGACAGGAGGTCTCGCAAGGACTGTCGCCTAGGAAGGGCCACCGACCTTTCTCGGTTAGGGATGAAGCGCGCTTCCTTCCAAGCCAGGGATATTTGCCGGCTACCGCCGCGGCGTCCGGCGGCCGAGGCCCCCCGTGGCCAGTCCCGTAGGCCTCAGATGAACACTTCCTGCATCACGTCTCCTCCCTCTGACCGGAGCAGTGGGATTCGGACGTCGGCAGCAGATGCCACTGGCGCAAGAAGGAACCCCTATGATGCTGTCTCCAACTTTTGTCCCCGCCCCGCACCCCGTTCCGCCACGCCCCGCCACCGCCCACACCTTTTGCTATGCCTTGGTGCCACCCCATCCGCCATGGTGCCCGGACCCCTTTTGTCACGCCCCAGACCCCTTCTGCCACGCCCCGCATCCCTTCCGCCACGCCTCGGACCCCTTTTGCCACGCCCCACACTCTCACGCCAAGGTTCTCGTCCATGGGTTAGCATGCGGTACGCTGAAGACCGTCGGTAGGCATGCGTCATCGTTGTCGTGTTTCTGTATCTGCATCGGGAACAAACCGTGGTATTCTCTGGCTTCACTAGAGCCGCCCAGCGCCGCTCCTTGTCGCCGTCTGATCACATTGACTGATCATCACTTGTGGCTGGTCTCTCCAGATTCGCCTCCCCACTTACAGCAGATTGTGAAACCAGGGGCACCATGCTGAATTCCAAGTAGGCGATCGTGGTGGGACGACATCGTCGCTTAGTCGTGGACAGGTGTAGTCGAGTAAGACGATCCACGGCGCCGTCGCCCGAGGCTTTTTGTCTCAGTCCTCCGACTTACGGAGACCAGGAGTTAAGTCTGTGGGCGGCGCGAGTGAGAGGCGGCCTAGGTCCTGAGCATGAATCTAGAGCACTAGCGTGAGGTCGGCGCACTGGCCACGACCGGCCGGCTTGCGCGACCTTGACCGTGGCGCGCGCGGGGCGTCAGCTGAGCCGAGGTCCCGGCGCCGGCCGGCTAATAATACCGGTCGGCGCGGCGGCCAGTCGCGGATGGCCGGCCGGCCGAGGAGGGGTGCGTGGCGCGAGCGGTGACTGCGGGCGGCCTGGAGCGGACCGGGGCGGCGCCGGACCAGCACCGGACCAGCACTCTCTCGTGCGCTGTGGTGCCGCCGCTGGGCCTCCGCCGCAGCAGAGGCTCCGAGCCCGAGGCGCCGCCGGTGAGTGGGGCCGAGCCACGCACGCGAGCAGTGGTCCTGGAGTGGGCGTGGGGCTCATTGTGGGAGCGTCTGGGTTGCTGGAGTCTTTCTTGGCTCGCTCGGTAAATTGTCATCTGTTAAGTCATCAGCTGTTTTTTTATTGGATCGATTTTTTGTGGAATGACTGCTATTCCCCATACTTGGTAGAGGTGGCATTAAACGCCTTTGGCCATGCATGGAAACAATACAAACCCAGTGGTCGGACGTGTTCTGGCATGGGGATGGAAAGCACGTGTGCTTGTGAGGAACAATGGCCGGTCCAAGTTTAGCGGGAGACCAGCCATACCCCCAAGATGGCCCAAGCTGAACAAAACACGACGCGTTGTTGGACTTCGAAGAAGGTTGAAGCAATTTCAACTTCGTTAAGTTTGTTTTAAAACACTCAGTGGGATAAAAGATATTCCATATATATATATATATATATAATATATATATAAATACGTATCAGTAAAACATATCTATATATTATACATCCAAATGCTTATGTTATATATATATATCCATATATATATATATATATATATATATATATTTTCATTATATATAAAAGATATTCCATCCATATTCCTCACCATATATGGCTCCTGACAAAAACAAAGAATTAGTGATGCGTTCTCACTAGACTCATAGACGTCCCCCTGGCAGCACTCCTGGCCCAAATATTGGATACAGTTAGAAGCTGGACTGATACAATGTTCCGGAGCCAGCTGCGGAGAGTGGCCCGGTGGAGAGTAGCTGTGGTCGATTCATAACAACCAATCATTGAAGTGTTTTCCGAATAAAATAGATACGTTGAAAGTGAAGTGGTCTGACGATAGCGAACTGATGTTTCCATATTATTTACCCCTTCTCGTTCCCCTTCCCTTATCGGCTGAGCGTTCCTTATCGTTCCCCTTATTCCCTAGTACGTTTCCCTTATCGGCTAAACGCTTGATTTGAAACATTTACATATAATGCGTCTCGATGGATTTGGTCACACCGGGGCCTAAGGAGTCCGTCCAGCCACGGAACCACTTGGTGGCTTTAGGTGCCTGTTTTGGATTCCGGGGATCTTTTGATGTCTGGGATCATGTTGATGCATGAGGGGCCCACACATGATGTTCTAGAAGCCTTACAGGTTGTCTGTACAACTGCCAAAAGCAGCACTGGGGCGCTCGGCACCAGTGAGTATCGGTCACCTGCTGGGAGGGGCGGAGGGCTGGGTTTATTTACTGTTTCTGTTTTATTTAAACTTTTTGTTGACTGAATGCTCGTTCGTGCGTCTGTGCCACTGAGTCGCTTTTGGCTGTGTAAATGAAAACGGGCGAAGCCAGGATGATTGGAAGCGGGGGGAGGGGGTACGCTACACAGGCTGTTGCAACGGGGGAGGCCAGGGAGTGTTTTTTTTAGAGGACCGAATTGCGCGCCCCATTCACCAGGACACATAAGTGAGAAAAGACTACGGACTGTCCTAAACGTTTGTGTGTGCAATGGCCAGCGCAATCAATGGTGCCATCAAATTTCGGCTTGCCCAGACGTCGGAAGGCGTGTCTCAGCCTGAGCACCGCGTTTCCCGCACAAAAACAGTCGAAATGAAAGGCGAGCCGAATGAAGAGAGCCCAGACGGAATGGCCTGGGCGCGACCGAAAATATTGAAGGGGTAGGGTAGAAAATTGACTGGGGTAAATTCGAATGGGAAAAATTGCGATGACAAAAAGTCAAAAAACATACAAGTTGGCAGGGATGACAAAAAAGAACACGAAAAAGTCGAGGGACAGCAGGTCAAAAGGGGGTAAAAGTGGACTGGGATAAAATCCAACTAGAAAACAAGTCGAAAGGGACGACTGTCAAGGACAAAAAGCGAATAGGGATAAAACTCGGATCGGAATGTGTCTTAAGCCTTAAAGAAGTCTTGGGATAAATCTTAAGAAGTCTTAGAAAGGAAGTATTAAGTGATAAAAGCCAGATAAAACGATTCGATGGAAAAAATTTAAGCCGCATAGCAGGTAGCCAAGAGGATCTAAGACAGGAGTGCCTCAACACGCGTCCGGGTGGCCGTTGATAAATACTCTTCGCTCGCGTGGAAAGTACCGAATTCATGGGATGGATCGGTCCGTGTGCGATTTGACTTGTGCCTTTTTGTGAGGCTCCTAGGTCATGATCCGCTCAAATAAGATCAAAACAAGTCAAATTCAAGATTGGTGGTCCAGCGTGTTCCCCATACCTTCTCATGCAACCGCCGTTACACCTACATATGTATTCTGAGAAAAAAGGTCACTAATGTATAAGTAGGGGTCTGTGACCTTGTTTTACTTTAGAAATTCACGGTGTCCCAAAATCTAAGAAATTAGTTTCATTTTGGAATGTCAATAACGTCAAGGGTTTGCGCGAGGGCGGATGTTCCTAAAAACTAATGGTCGATTTGAGCTATTTTTGTCAGTGACCATCTCTGCACATTAAGAAGTCTATGGAATATATCTGTTGCGATCTTGACTTAGGAATTGAATGTGCCTCAGATGCTACCCATGCAGCGCGGTCTTCAGTAAAAAGCAGGTTGTGACCTCCGTTTGACCTTTATACTTGACCCAATCTTCCGTTTGTGCTAAAATTAATTGTCTATTTGTTCAACAAGCTATCTCAGGGATGTGTGGCTTCCTTTCTATCACTCCGTGCCGCACCACATTGAATAATTTCCTAGAATTGCATTCGTGGACACCCCTGTCCTGGCCGGCCTGCCGTAGGTCAGCGACCTTACAAGGTACAGTACATGTGAGTTGTATACTGAAGGATCCGCCATTCAACTGCATACAGCTCTGCAAAGTTCGGCGCCCCTGCGCCGCATGTTTAGAAAATTATTCTGGAAAACCTTCGGGAGGCCAATTCACCCCCGTCCGAGCGCGTGTTAATGATATGACGCCTAGCATGAAAAGGTAAGTTGCCGACCGCAAAACAACCAATAGAATGCCCCTTGTTTTTTTTTTCGCGAACACAGCAAGCTGGCTTCTGGCCCTCACTTTTCTGGTTCTGGTTCTTTTCTGGTTCTGGTTCTTTTCCAAATACAAACATAGCTTCCTGGGTCCCGCTGGTACCGTCAGCAATACCAGGACATGTTCAAGGCTCCCACTCACCTTTTGCGAACGTGATATCCTAGTGTCCTTGCCCCCTCCAGTTCTATTACAGACCACAGGACGTGGTTTATGGTTCCCAGCCGTGTTTGGTCTCAACTGATGAAGGTGCTTTCCAATCTTTATCGCTGTGAATCTGTTTCCGCTTGGACTTTTCAACTTGTATTCCTGTCGCCTTTTTGTTCCTTCGACTTTTTCGCGGATTCACCTTTATTCCTTTTATCTTTATCACTCGACTTTGTCTTTCGAATTTTAATCCCTGTCGACTTCCCTGTATTTTACCTTTGGTCCTTAGACCTCGAGCCGTGCAGGCTTTTGTGTAGTTACATTTTTTGAAATATTTCCCATTCGGCCTTTTGTCCGGACAACGAGGACCGTACCTTTATAGCCGTTTGCCGCGTGAAACACATGGTTATTCATTAACCTCATCACGAAGGTTCCTGCTGCTCTGTTCGACGTGTCAACGCTTAGGACAGCTGATCATATGTAAAGCAAAGCGATAATAATTTTCATAATCACGCGATTGATGAGTCTCATTCCATTGTATCTCAGTGAAAAACTGCACCCGACCCTGGCCGGGGGTGGGGGTGGGTGGGATGGGAGGGTAAAACCTCGTGAGCGCTCTCCCCACCCCCGGCTGCGTCGTGATGACAACCAGATACCGATTAGCACGATCAAGCGGGCAAACCGTGACTGCGCTCATTCCGTCCATTGATCGAGCTGAGAGCCATATTTGCGTTGACTGCGATGGGATTATTGGATTGCTTCGTTTCTCTGGGTATCCCGTCGCATGTCTGGTTTCAGTTTTGGACTGTGGCTGCTTTCACGGACTCGTTGCACAAGAAATGTGTGTCGTTGGAAATCCTTCTCAAGCGATCTCCAGATCCATATAATGGAGCAAACAACGAAAGCAGGGTGTGGCAAACACCCGGCCCTCTCGCTTCTTTTAGAGGATTTTGGGTGCATTCTTGTGAGCGAGTCCTGAGAAAGATTCTAAAATAAATTTGTATCATTTTAGAATTATGCTCGTAGTCATAGTTTTTCTAAACCATTTTTCACGCGCAACCCAGTTCTCTGGGCTGGCAGTCGAGCACTTTCGCTGCAACAGACGGCTTGTGCCTGTTCGTTTTCGTCTTTGCCATTTCGCATCATGCAGCGTCATGGCGCGAGCGCCACAGGCTCTCGCGGTGTGTTGGTCCTAATCATTGTGGACCTAGTGGGCTCCCATTTGCCATCGGCTCTGCTCGCATAACGCATGCAGATTTTCAGCACCTATGCTGGTGTTTTAGTGTTTTTCAGTACCTATGCTGGTGTTTTTACTGTATTTTTCAGTACCTATGCTGGTGTTTTACCGTGTTTTTGCCGGCCGTAATTTGCGGACCCTCAAATTCTGCCCGGTTGAAAAGATTGATAGCTTACCTTAATGCAGCGTGCATTGTGTCGCCATCAATGGACCAATGTGCTGCGAATATCCGTTACCGCTGTCGCACTTGATGGCCTGTTACAGATACCGTGCGCTTATCGAGAACCAGATCGGACGAAACGCATTACCCGAGTTTCCGCTCGGTGCCGTGTATAGACGACCGTACATTGATGGGGGAGACGGATCGGCCGACGCGCCGTCCGGCAGTGGTGGCGCGCCACGCCCCCGGCCGAATGGCGCGGGTCGGCCCGCGGGCCGTGAGCTGCCGCTGCCGCTCGGCGCCCGTACTCGGCGCCTGTTCTCTCGGCTGCGATACCGCTATCGGCGGCGAGCGGCGGTGGGCCAAGGCTGTCGCATGGCCGCAGCCTATCGGTCAGATCGAAATGGATCTCGCTGGCCAGACGTCAGTTGCGTGGCGGCAGTCGGTCCCAGATGTGCATGTATGCAAGTGGATAGCGAGGGACATGACTTGCACTCGAGGTGGTCTTCCCCGGCGGCGCTGGCCTCCCATGCAGCGTATGCAGGCAAATAACCGGAACTAAACGACTTTGCTGGCCTCGGCTCTGCGCTCCAGCTGGCGCGCCGGCTCTGTTTGAAGAGGCGTTCGGTTTCTGTTGACGATGTCTGGCGATAGCTGAAGTAACGTGGGGTTTGATGGGCCCATGGCGGTGTCATCTCCTTGCATCAGATGACGCCGCCGTGGGTGGTTAGCCATGCAACATATGATAACACCAGCGGGGTGGTACTCTGGGGTGGGCTTGTGTGAAGTGATACCGCCCGACTACATAGCTATGTAAGAGATGTTACCACCCCGGCTTCATAGCCATGTAATAGATGTTACCACCCCGGCTACGTAGCCATGCAAGATATGCTACCGCCCCGGCTACATAACCATGTAAGAGATGTTACCGCCCTGGCTACGTAGCCATGTAAAAGAGATGCTACCATCTCGACTATATGCCACGTAAAAGACGTTACCTCTCCGGCTGGACAAATATGCAGCAGATAATATCTTTCAGGCGGAATATCTATGTGGGGAGCGATACCGCCCGACCGGGTGGTCCCGAAGCGGAGGATTCGGTTATTGATGCTTGAATACTGATCAGCGGTCGCAGCGGCTGAGCTCGCCGGCCAACCCTTACAACGTTTTTTTATAGCTATTATCGCATGCATTACTACTTTTAAGCCTGCTTTCATTTTACTCGCCACGTGTCAGTGCTGGTTTTAGTGGAATGTCGCGGCAAGGCGCAGTTTTTAACATGACCGCGCACATGCTGCACGCATTGCATGCAGTTGCCATGCAGCGCATGCCGACTCGGCCCATATATGGGCGAACGCGTGTGGTAAAAATAATCCCAGGCCGTGTTCGTGTATCTTGCATCTTATAGCGTGTCACTAGGTTCATACGCTCCTTTTGCGCAAGTGTGTCGTGCTTCGAAGGTAGGACCCAACGAATGCCGCCAACCGGTGTACGTCACGGCGGGTATTGTTCAGCCTTTTTTCGTGCTCACGGACCAAACGATCTCGCCGGCTGACGGACGCGGAGGGTGCTGTTCACCAGCCAGTGACGGCCGACCAAACGATCTAGCCGCCTGACGGACGCGGAGGGTGCTGTTCACCCCAGCCAGTGACGTGCTGAACAAACGATCTCTCCGCCTGACGGATGCGAAGGGCGCTGCTCAATCCCAGCCAGTGGACGTGCCGATCAAACAATCTCCCCCGCCTGACGGACGCGGAGGGTGCTGTTCACCCAGCCAGCGACGTGCCGACCACACGATCTCTCCGCCTGACGGACGCGGAGGGTGCTGTTCACCCAGCCAGCGACGTGCCGACCAAACGATCTCGCCGCCTGACGGACGCGGAGGGTGCTGCTCACCCAGCCAGTGACGTGCCACTGGCCCGGTTGGAGCACTGTGTGGAGTGGCGTACTTTCGCAAAATAAATGGGGGAGGAGGGGGGGGGGAGGGGCTGACAAGGGAGAGATTGCCAAACCTTTCCCCGAAGCGCGTAAACGTGTTCCACCGAATTTGATCCACGTTATTCTTGAAATTGGGATGCGAGGTGGAACCCTCTTCCGACCTCCACAACCGAATAGGAAACTACACCGCTGCCAGCATGAAAATGGGCGGCAAACCTGACGCGAAACGCCGCCATTGTCGACATGCGTGATGATCCCTAATCTCGCCGTGTTAGGCGCTGCCGCACGCTATCCACTATTCATTACTGGGGTAGTGGGGGTGTGGGGAGGGACGTGCTGACGTGGCGCACAAAGCTGTACCCGTCGCCGGTAACGCGTGCCAGTTGTGTGGGTGCGGGTGTGGGGAGGGGGAGGGGCGGGGCGTCAGACCGGCTCTGAATGGGCCGCCCCGCCGGCCGCGTGCCCGCCGGTCGGGACCCGCCAGCTGTGGCGGGCTGCGGAGGATGGGCGCCGGGCCCGGCCTGGTCCGTCGCGCCCTCAGATGCAGCGCCGACTGAATGTCCTAGCGCGTGCTGCCGTCGACGTGCGGCTTTGAGGCGGGATGTCGAGTGGGTTCCTGATTACTCTGACAACTGCTGCTGTCTAGGCTAGGACTCTGCGAACCGTCTGCGACCTGCGGAATGTTGGGCGGTGTTTTGACGTTGCATGCGACTCTGTGACCTACCGAACGACCGTCTTAAGCCCTCTCATCCGCGAGGCCGCCTCTGTCCGGCCCCGTGAGGTGCCACTCCGTTCCTCGGTGGACTGTGTCCGCGGTGCACCCTCGTCCGACCCTAAAACTGAGCCTGACCTCCGTCTGCAGGATCGGCCGTCATGCGACCCCCGCCGCTGCTGCTGCTGGCAGCTGGCGCTGGCGACGCTGGTGCCGGCCGGCTGCGGGCCGCCTCGCCGGCCGCGCTGGGCGCCCAGCTGGCGCGTCCTGCGCGCCGCCCGCAGCGTGGTGGCCAGCGCCAAAGAAGCGCGCGACGGTTAAGTACGCACAGTGCTGGCTGCCCGTCCGCCTGGGGCTGGAGACGGGCTGGAGGCGCCGAGCGTCGCCCGCCTGGGGGCTGGAGACGGGCTGCCGCTAACTTTGTTGGGGATGGCTTGGCTGGTCTGCAGGCCCAGCTCGTGCCGTGTGTTCATGCTGCAACAGTAGCCCGGGTGTGGGGTGGCTGGCATGAATATCCATTCGTGGGTCTATCCGTCCCTTATGCATGCTTCAGTGCATAATTCCTCTTCTCGTGTCAAACAGGCACTGCTTCAGTCATTCTACGTGAAAAGTCCGTCGTTGCATCTCGTGCTTAGTGATTGTTTATCTTTGTGGTAATCGAATACCACACCTTCGCGGTTCATGTAAACAGCCTCGCCCAGCTTTTCTCCCCATGAATTATCATCAGGGCACCGCCGATTTCGAACGGAAATGCTGCTGTTACACGTCTGGAAGCGTAGCTGTCTTTGTCCAGCCCCCGTCGATGGGAGCTGTGTGCCAGTCTCATGGACTTAGAATGTCGCGGCAAAAAGCAAAGCTGTCATTTCGCCGACGGTGCTGCTCTGACCACATGTCTGTCTGCGGCTTGTCCAGCTTGCTTTGGCTGTGCCCGTATAACTGACTACGTGAAATCAGACGCGACGGTGCACATCTGCGGTCGTTTGACGTGTCGTATGAACCAAAGCATCGGGCTCTTATCATGCAAAGCGTCATGAAAGCAACATAATGGCGACCGCACGAAAGCCAAGCACGTCCCGGTCACGAACTGAGCTCTACTGACTCGCTGCTGCGCGACTAGAACTACGTTCGCTTCATCTCGTATGAGCTTCACACCAGAATGCTGCACGCTTTGCGTCACTGTTGGCGAGTGGGGTCTGTCCGTGTCCAGCCTTGAGGGGCGTCGATTTTGTTTGGCATCCACATTCCGGCTATGGCCGCCGTCACGGACGGCTAACTGCGCGACGGCTTTCGTGCTGCTGTCTGCTCCCTGTCCTTGGCTGTGATCCCTCGACTGCATGAACCCGTGGTCAGTCGTCTGCCTCAGTGGCGGCCGCGTCCGCTGCCGCCTGCTGGGGCTCCGTTGCCGCCGGGTCCAGACAGCGTCGCGCCGCTCACATGCCGCCCTCCACCCCCACGCGAGAGGGGCCTCTGCGCGGTGCAAGACTGTGCGGGTGCTGCCTCTGTGCGCCGGCCAAGTGCCGTCCGTCTGTGCCGCCGGCGGCGCCGTTTTATGCGCTGTTGTGTGGTGGTCGTCTCTGTGCATGACCGTTTTCTTAGTGCTGTCGCTTTCGCTACCGGCACCGCCATATCGTTGCCGCCTCTCGGGAGCTCCGTGGCGCTGATTGGGAAGCACATGTGGATCTTGCTCTTGCTTTTGATGCCGGCAGAACATGCTATGCAGAATGGTGCACCTCGAGCCTGACAGCGTTCTGGACCCCCATTCTGGACCGTAATGCGCAAAGTAGCGCGGCGATGTGCCGTGGCTGTCTGCTGACGCCCGGTCGGCCGGGCCGCCCACCGCTGCAGAGACGGGCCACGTGCAGCGGGAGCGGCTGGTCGCCACTCACACGGACAGTGACGGCACCAAGTACCAGTACTGCGTGGAGCGCGAGGAGGTCAAGGAAGAGCACGGCATCCACGTGGCGTCCTGGCGCTGGACGGAGGTGCAGACCTACTACGCCATCACGCTGTTCATCGTCATCGCCGGCCTGGCCAAGCTAGGTCAGTCTGTCGGCTGGCCGGGCGGGCGGCTCGCCCCCGCCGACGGCCGGGGCGGGCCGAGCCGGGGTCGGCAGGGCACCGCTGCTGACTGCTGGTCGAGAAGGCGCCGACAGCCCGGCGCCTGATCGGGCTGACGGCGTACTGATTTTTATCAGCCCAGGCCCGGCTTGGAGTGCAACTGGTTTGCCCACTTTCAGTTTCCCCGATTTTCTTGATTCATTTTATTCGGGGGCTCTCAACGTGTGGTCGATATTGCTGCCTTCAGAAAGCGTGCCCGTGTGATGTCAAACAATGATGAAACAGTTCGTTTTGCTAGAGTCGCCGAGCTAATTGTGCCGTCTGAATCCGATTTTAATTAGACGTGGTCGTGATGCAAGCGTTTGTTTTTTGTGCTCTTTATCACAAATCTAGACGCAAGTCATTCTGGTTGGGTACACTTCTTCGCGGCAGGCTGCTGAACGTGTTTTGATGGCGAAGGAAATTTCTGCCTGGTGCCACATATCCACATCCCTGAGTGTGTTGCCCCTTGCAAGCTGTGAACCAGCTACTAAGGTATCAGTCCAGTGCAGGTCACTCGTGGGCGGCTTGGACGATACCCAACTTCGCGTGAAGCCGCGCGTCGCGTCGCTGCCCTTGCTGACCCGCATCATAACAGAGCTCGGACGCACAACCTAGAAACTCAGATAGGGGTTTGTAACAAACAACCAAACATAGCAAACAGCCCATGCATACGCCAACCGAATAATAGTGCACGATTGTAATTATGACAAAGCTATGATCATTGCTGCTCTCCGCCCTCGGACATCCGTTGTGTTGGTGCTTGTTCCCCTGCGGGCCGTCACGCCGCCGTGGATCGCTCAGGTATTCACCGCTACACCACTCATGCCTCGGACACTGCGAGGTCGCCCCCCCCGAAATGCACAACTTAACTGTTCGCAGCACTCGCTCTGTGCGGTCCGCCGTCGTTTCCCCCGCACATGTACTGCTCAATGCGCCTGCTCGTTGTCCAGCCCCGTTGATCCGCAAGCCCCTCACAGAATGTATGCATTACACAACCTGTCTGACCCACTGGGTAACGCGCACACCCTCCCCCATCGCCCTGCGTGCCGCGCCAGTCGCATTCCCGGCGTGTTGCTCCTATCGGCGGGGCCAGCGGCGGCCGAGCGGTTCTCGGTGTGGCGCCGAGGCGGCACGCGCTTATCGGTGGCCAGTCGACCGCCAGCTCCGGCGGAACTGTACCTCCGGTCCAGCCCGGCCCGGCCCGGCCGCCGCCACCGCCACCGCCACCGCCACCGCCACCGCCACCGCCACCGCCACCGCCACCGCCACCGCCACCGCCCAGACGATAAACAAAGCCATCTGCTGTGCAAGTGACACAAGCCTCAGGCGACATTGCTCAGAATTTGCACATCATTTTTGCCTAAAACCAATATTTTTGATATGCTGCGGGCACTTTCCCGCAACACGCCGGGAACGCTTGAAATTGCAATGACAACGTTCTAATGCCCCGGAACATTGGCTCTCCATGTGCTGAAATGAGCGGGGATCTTGTGCCTGGTTCGAGGTACCCAAATCCGCAGCGTATGTGCATTGACATTTCTGGTGTTACTGCGCCGCACATGGCCGGCATGCCATGCATTCTTGTGCGGTGTAGGCCTCCGCCGCGCCGCGCCACACCAGCCGGCGGGACCTGGCCGGGCCGCGACTCAGGCTGACGGCCGCGCCCGGGACGGCGGGTTGGTGAGCGGCACTGGGCGGAACACTGTCGTGGAGTCGGGGTCAGATGACGCAGCGTTCGTAACTGTACAGCGCGTCGAGGAAGCATCGGCGTGCGTGGCCAAATTCCAGCGTTTCTTACTCAGCATCCAATCTTCTTTTCTGACCTCTAGCCGGACGGAGTCGCGTAGGTGTCCGCGTTGTCATGTTCAGTGGCTCCGCCGAACGCCGTTCGCCGGCAGCTCTTCCAGCGGTCGGCTGGCGGGTGGGCTGCTCGAGCCCGACATGAGAGCCCGGCCTGGCCGGCCATCCAGCAGTTGGCCGCTGGCTCGCACATTCCTGCGCTCTGACCCGCCGGTCACGGCCACCGCGGTCACGAGGCGGTGCAGGAGCCCCACGTGAGGGCCCGGCCCGGCTCGCCGGCCGCGCGCTGAGCCCCCGGTCACGGACACGGCGGTCACGAGACACTAGCCTCGATGTCCGGGGCGCACACCCAGTCATGGAGCAAGCAATCGATGGATGGCTTTCGTACGTTGTCGGATCGCTCACAAGAGGAGAAGCAGGATAAGTTCGAAAGCAACAAACAGAAACTGGTAGGCTCGACCCACAAGTATGAAGGCGTAACGAAATGCGTGGGAATTAGGCTGATGGTGATTGGGTATTTGTTCTCATTCAGCTTTACATTAATGTATTTGTATTTACACTTACGTATACTCATTTACATCTATACCGTCATTTAGCGACGTTTCAGTTTTACTGTTAGTCGAATGGACGGTTTTTCATGCTTTCGCGAATGTCGCTTACGAAACGGGAACGTATTGGAAGCTTAATGCGACTTTCATGTTGTGGCTGAAAGCAACATAGGCGACATGTTATCCTGAAGCATAATGATGATAAATGGAAACGGCCGAGAGCCAACTCGAGATAGAAATGACCATCGTTACTGAAAGCATTTTCGATATTAGAGGTTTTACCGCCTGGGCTACGGCTTTGAACATTTTTAAGTGCAACTTGAACTTGCACTTAAAAATTCGTCGGTGCTTTGCCATGTATGAGACATGCCTCAATGGACTCTTCTTTGGATTCATTGCTCAGGAACGTAAAGCGACCAAAAAGGGGAAATCTGGAATCTGCAACACCTTGGGAGGACACCTTAAGGTACACCTTATGAGTACAACACACTAGGAGGACACTTTAAGGCACACCTTATGAGTACAACACACTAGGAGGACTCCTTAAGGTACATGTTATGAGTACAACACATTACGGGGACGGTGACATATCGTTTATGACATCGAGGATATCAAGCTCAGAGCGTGTTTGTTCGCAATCTCGCTGCGCCTTGTTGGCCATCTAATTCGCGTTTAGGAAGAAAACAACAGCCGCCTGGGGCCAGGAACCTGCGGCCGCTGCGTGACGACGGCTCACGTGCTGTTCATCGCCCAAGAATCCCCGCCTAAGACTGCCACGGGCGGTCCCGGACTGTCGCGCGGCCGCCGCTTGACAACCGTATTGTCACCCCGCCAAGTGTGTCCTAATCTTCAGCTCCACTCTTGGACTCTGGAGTGGCCAGCGCTGTGTGTCTAAACGCGGGCATGCCTCGTCTTATCGTGGCCGCCGTGTGGGTGGAAAGGGCCGCGAGGGCACCGACAGAAGCGGCTGTTTGGCTGATGCTATTGTTGTTGTTGGGAAGCACGTGCGGTGAACCACGTGCCGGCGCTGCTGACTCAAGTTACTGGGGTTTTCCGAGCCACTTGCACTGGACTGTCATCGTTGTTGGCGCTTTGGGCGGGTTTGCCGCAGTGGTCTGATGGATTTTTAGCGTGGGTCTGGTCAAATGGATGATAAACTTCCTATGGAATGTCTTTAACCGCGCGCCAAAAATGCGTGTTAAAAAGGCGTTGTTTTTCTCTTTTTGTCGGATATTTTTCACTGTTCTTACTACCTTATGATTTCTTTACAGGCTTTCATCATGCGCACTTTCTGTCATCTAAATTACCAGAATCATGGTGAGTGCTCGCATCTTTTCATGTGTGTTTCCATGGTAGATCATGTTTTATTACCATGAACACCACTATAGGTAGCTCATAAAGTACTGTGGATTGTTGTACATAATTTATCATATAACTATGAATGCTTAGTTCAAAGTGCTAATGCGAGAAACGATGTTGGTCATATTTTCCTGTCCCTATTTTGTACTGATTTGCCTATATCCCTTCCAAACTACCGCCACATATACACATGTTTCGCGCACCTGATGCAGGTGTCTCTGTCGGCTGTGACGCGGCCACGCCTCCCATTTCAGCCTGCTCATCATCCTGGGCATCTTCGTCGGCATCATCACGTACCACATCCGTCACCGGTGAGTCGGTGACGAGCGCCGGCGGCCGGGCTTCCTCCGAGTCTGGGAACGCCCCGCCGCCGCCCCGCGCTCCCCACAACCGTGCCTCTCACGTGGCCTCGCGGGCCCTGCACTAGCGGCGCATGAACGCCACAGCGCTGCCGCTGAGGGCGTCTGGTCACGCCTGTGCACGTCACGAGCGGACCCGGCTGCTTCGTGGGAGCTGTTCCGCCGTCTATCGTCGCGTCTGTCTTCCGTGTTCTGGACCCGGACTCGTCTGGGGTGTCCAGCGCCCCAGAGCCGCCACCGCCCGGGGCAGCGGCCCTTGCCACGTTCCGCGGGTCCGGTGCTGTCCAGCCGCGTCGTCCAGCGACAGAGAGGTTGCGTGCGGACGGACCCTGCACGAGGTAGGGTGAGGGGGTAGGGCATGGAGTCAGTCTCTTTTTTTGCTCGGTCCTAAAATGGATCCTGCTGCCATGCGGCCATCAACTCGCCGTCGGTGCTACCAGAGACAGCGCCACCGGCAAACAAGACGGGCACGTGCGTCCCCCGAATATCCTGGACTGCGGCATGTATCTGTGTTAAGAGAACATCATATGAAAAGCGTGCGTGCAAAACGTTCTCCATTCTGTCCTCTGATCATCTTCCGGCGCTGCCTGGAAGCCATAAGGTTGCTTAGGAAAACTAAACTGCCGGCATTTAGAACGTCCCAAGCAAAGAAGGAAGCCATGAGCATGCAAATAGAACACAGTGGGCTGCTGTTGGCACAAAACCCTGGCGTCAAGTCTCTAAACTCAGTCACAACCACGGCTATCGAGGGAACGCACTAACGGCAACAGGAACGACTGAAACAAAATTAATGCTATTTCTTTCGGAACGTTGTGAACACTGCAATGCCCGGGTAAATACATCAAAGGATTTTTCCCTAGTGATAACATGCTACTCGTCAATATGCACAACTTGTGAACAGCCAGTTGCATACACTAAGTGTACACAAGACAACCGTGGATACGACGAAGGTCGCGATACACACGACTGCCGCGCCGCGGGTGCGTTCAGATGCCGCCCGCTGTCGCCGGCGGCCTGATCGGCATGACCCCAGCGCCGGCCCCGTGTCACGCCCCGGCTGACCTCCGCCAGACCGCCGGGTCGCCAGGGTCAACAGCAGGCTCGTCAGCGGAATGGCTGGTCGACCGCGGCGTTTTGTCAACGGAGACACGGACAGTCACGTCACGGAACGGTCAGGTCACGCGGACAGCCACGGCACGGGACGGTCAGGTCACGCGGACAGGCACGTCACAGGCACGGTCAGGTCACGCGGACGGCCACGTCACGGGCACGGTCAGGTCACGCAAACAGTCACGTCACAGGCACAGTCAGGTCACGCGGACAGCCACATCACGGGCACGGTCAGGTCACGCAAACAGTCACGTCACGGGCACGGTCAGGTCACGCGGACGGCCACGTCACGGGCACTGTCAGGTCGGTCAGCGGTATGCGATTCACGTGCCGTGGCCGTCGCGGCCTGGCGGCCCGTGTGATATCCGTACTGCGCCTGCAGGACCAGACGACTGGCGCGGTTTGGTCAACAGAACGTGGCCTGGCTGTTTGTTAAGCCCTTGGCTCGGACCGGCGTCAGAGGGGCGTGTGGTCGACATCTGCAGGTGCTAAGGTCGCCGCTGGCGCCATGTGCTGCGGCCGGGTGCGGCGCTGGGCCCGCTGTAATACACAGCAGCCAGGGGTCGAACCCTGCACGTTGCGGCCACGGCTCCCGGTGTTGCTCACAAGCCGTGCGTTGCTGCGCGCCGGCCGCGTGGCCTGTCGCCTGTCGCGGGGGCTGACCGGCGCCTGGCGCCCGGTCATGGTCTGACCAGCGGACAGGCGGCGTCCTCCGGCCGGCGGCGTCTGAGCTGCCGCCGGCCGGAGGACGCCGTCCTTAAGCCGGTGGCGTCTGAGCTGCCGCCGGGGACCGCGCCGGCAGCTCCGCCGGCGGGGACCGCGCCTGCTCCCCAGAAGGAGCGAGATCCCCGGGCCGCAGGCACTCCGCACGAGGGGCGATGGCAGGCGTCCGCTCCCCCTCGCGCCAGAGCCTGTCGTCGACGCCGCTGGGCGTCGGGCGGTAGGGCTGAGCGCCCGGCTCGGTCGGCCGACCGGGGTTGCGTGTGCGCCGCGCGCCACGCTGCTCCCGGGCGCTCTCTGCATTGAGCGGGCGGGTTGCAGGGGTCGCACGACTCGTTCGGCGCGTGTCGGCAGGGGGCGGGGTGGGAAGGGGCAGGGTAGAGATGGGGGAGGTATTACCTCGTGCTGCGCGTGGCCCGGCACCAAGGTCAGTGACTGGTGGCGGCACTGGGCCGGTGGATTTTTGTTGTTTTTGTTACTGCTTTCATTGCTGGCGACACCAAAAGGACTCTTAACTCCCGGTTTTCAAAATAGTTAGATGGGAGCGCCGCTGGTAATAATCGCCCGTCAGGAATGTAGGAGGTACTGGTTCAGTGACGTAAAGGAAGTGTTGGTTATAATGGCAATCGCCACGTTTCAGGCTGTGCTCACGGCCATTCATGGTCAAGTTTTACCAATACAGCCATTGCTTACTCGAAAACGTCGTTTAACCAGCACTTCCTAGCATGATGGGGTTGACTGTTGCCAGAGTAAGAACTCCCAGCGAATGATTCCACGGCATCATTGCGACAGAGGGGCTGCCTTGTGCGGCTCCAAGCCACACACTCTCTCCCGCCTGCGCGGGATTTCCGCGCGTCGACCCGGCCGGCGATCTGGGCTGGCAGTTCCGGCGGCTGCGATAGCACCGACTGCAGCGAACTCCAGCTCTGTCAGCAGCACGCGCGGAGTGGCGATGGGGGAGGGGGAGGGGGAGGGGGTAGTAACCGGCTAGCAGGAACCGTCAAGGTCATGACGCCTGCCCGGGCGGCCAGGGTGTGCTCATGGAATGCCACGGGTGCGCGCTGAGGGGGATCAGCTCAATGGGTGTTCGCAGGATGATCACTCGATGATCACTCGCTGTTATCATGTCTGACTATAATGTATAATCATATCTGTGTAGGCAGGGGTGAAGTTTCTTAATCATTTTGAGCGGGCTAGCTACTCTAGTCACCCAAACTTGTAGAAGGAAGTGGGCCGAATTCGGGGACCGTTCCCCGTTTTTGACTATTTTGGAGCAGATTTAGGCATTTGTCTGTGCTCAGCTCAACTCAACCTAGCTTCCCCCAACTCAAACCTAGCTTGTGAAGCTTCGCCCCTGTCTGTAGGTGTTGTGTGGTAACCGGAGCCCATCCGCCGCAGGGTGTTCTGGTTCCTGCCCGGTTACCTGGCGCCGGGAGAGCGCGTCTCGTAAGGCGTGCCGCGTGACGCGTGCTGTGTGCCCCGTCCGTCCCTCCGTCCGTCCGTGAGGCGGCGCACTAACAAAACCGCCGCATCCTCCGCAGACGCCGGCCAAAGCGGGCCAAGCCTTCCCCTGCGGTCGCGAGGCTGCGCGCGCCCGCTGGTGTGGGGCAGGGGAGGGGTCACGCTGGGTGGGGGAGGCCCGCATTGTGCGCTGTTGAAGGAGAGACGGCCGGCGAGGCGCAGCTCAGCGGGCGGAGCAACGTCTGCAGTAGGTGACCGTTGGTCGGCCTGGGCCCTGTCTTGTTGGTCTTGTTAGTTCCAGTCGGGTCGGGCTCGGGGACGCCCTGCCGGTGTCAGCTCGGAGCGGGCTCAGATTTGTATCAGTTGTCTCAATGGGCGCCCCCTTGACGGCAAGCCAGCTCCCGAGCTGCAACACTGGCTGACGGGTCCTCCGCGAGGCGGCTGTAGCGTAAGATCAGGGGTCTGGTGTTGAACGTCAGCCGGGTACACTCACGACTAGTATAAGGTAACGCCTTAAGGCATTGCCTCACGTGACCGACGCTGGAAAATGGCACCCTGCAAAAACATCAGTTCCGTGCCTTTGTTTCGCGAAGAGTGGCCGGGCCAGTTGGTTCCTGAGCGTCGTCTGAGCAGACGATGATAACACTATCATTTAGCACATATAGATAGCACACATAGATAGCACATCGAAGGTAGCGCTACCCCTGCGCCGCAATTTCTCATGCCAGCAAGGAGCACATGGTAGCGATCATGATAATTTGTGTTTTTATTGTGTTGGAAATGTGTAGGCTGCGTCTCACATTCCTTCGTGTGCAGTAAAATTTTTCAGGCTTTAATGTTCCCTCTCCCGTCGGTCGGTTCCGTCTTGTTCCCGGTTCTGTTCCTATTCTTGTTCCTATTCCTGTTCTTATACTTGGTCCTATTCGCGTTCCTGTTTCTCTTTCTCTTTCTGTTTCTGTTCCTGTTTCTGTCCCTGTCCCTGTTCTTGTTCATGTTCTTGATTTCCTGTTCGGTCGGTTCCGCCAATCGGTTTTCAGTTTGTGGTGTTACACTTGTTTTGCCATTTTTGCATGCCTTTAAAACAGGATTTCCCAGCTTATATCATGATAATGCTGGTCCAGAATAATGCTGAAAGTAACCAGAATGTCGATATCCGTTAACAGCCCGCGCTCGACGATTATCCGATTCTTACGAGCCCCTTACCGCTTTGGATGTGCATGGCAGTGCGACACACCTTCCATGCCTGTCGACCGGGAGCGCCGTCGTCGTCGTCGCGAGGGTGGCAGTTTGGCAGGTAGTTTGGAGCGTGCCCCGCTGCGCGCGCAGACGTGCGCCGTCACTTGCCCAGCTGCCAGTGTCGGCCGTCCGCCTGCCGTTCGGTGCTGGGCCGCTCGCCTCAGTGGCGTGCTCCGCGAGCCGGCGCGGTCCGCGGGAGGCGCAGCCTGACCTCGTCATCTGCCGCAGGCTCGACGGGGAGACGTTCCCGGCCATCGCCTTCGTCAACACCTCAGTACGGGTGCTCGACTGTGAGGACGAGTTCGCCGGCTTCTTCCCCAAGTTCGACTCGGAGCTGTTCTTCCTGGTGCTGCTGCCGCCGTGAGTGGAGCGCCTGACCTGACCCGATCGTGACCTCGGGTCGACCGATCACGACCCCAGCGCGGTCCCTGTCCGCTGGGCCTCGCGCAGGCGGTCACAGTGCTCTCCTGAACGTCGTAGTTATATCATCACGTTTAAGATGAGATGTGTCGTGGTACCATCGATGTCGTAGGGAATATGTGGCCATTGCATATCGGTGTTGCGCCCTCAAAAGATTTGCACTGTATCCGGTCGCTTAATAATTGCGGTGCTAGGCAGAGGTTGTGTGCCGTATGCTGTCAAACACTAGACAAACATGCGGATATGCGCGAGCTTGATCAGACCCACTCGACCGACATTTTTCTCGCGCGAGTCTCTCGATGACGCTATGTCGGGCGCCGCGGTCTCCAGCGGCGCGGAGGAGGCCAGACGCCACGATCTGCTGACCGCAGCCAGTTGGGCCCAGTCGCTGACGAGCCCGATAGCTTGGATCACGAGCCTACCCGATGTCGTCTGCCCTGCGGGCTCTGGCGCTGGTTCTTTGCTGCTCCCTGAGGCGAGGCCTCAAGTGGGGAGGGGAGGGTAGAATGAGCAGCGCATAATATTGCATGTATGTGCGCGTGCAACGCCTACCAACGGTGAGATATTTGCATTTGTTGCGCGTGGGTCGTTGCAGCCAATGCACAGGCATTCCGTGTCAGCGTAGGTAAGATGTATTGTATTATCCGCTCTCGCTTAGGAGAGCCCCTTTAGATAGGGTAATATAACCGGTTGTGGGATTGCTGGAGATGTCAGGCGAAACTCCAAAATCAAATACCGCGCTGAACGTCGTGCATTTCCGTATGCTTGCCTTTTACATTTATCATGTTTTGTGACGTTTTATTCCGACATTGACCGCCTCTCCTCCCCCTGAAAGTATCCACAGCCTGATGATGAGAATTACCTTTCCGTCGAGCGAAAGGCAGGACGTGCTGAAGCTCTCCTCCGACTGACGTGCGTCAGTTCGGTTTTCATTGCTCGTCAACGCTGCCTGATCATGCATGCCCAGCTGGAGGTCCAAATAGCCTGCGTCATGAACGCACGCGATAAACTTCAGTCTTCAACCCCCCAGTAATGAGTTGCCGCAACCTGTTTTGCACAGCCGGCCGTGACGTTGGGGCCGCTCCAAAGTTCGATGGCCCTGGCGAGTCGCCGGCATTACGCCGGCCACCTGCCGTTTGGCGGCCGGGGCAGATGTGTTCGGGAAGTCCCTCCAGCTCAGACCCGGTCGGCAGAGCTGTCTCCGGTACGGCGCCGGGCGCGAGGCGGTTTCCTCGTTGAACTCCCGGTTGTCCTCCGTTGGGATGAGGCGGATTGGGCGCTGCTCCGCTGCTGGGAATGGTCAAATTTTGTTATCGGTACTGGCGAGACGTTTCCAGCACTGGGACTCGTGAAACTGTTCCCCTACTCTTTTTCGTCTATCTCAGAGAAAAAGTCACCAAATAAATTTATAAAATGATTGCAAGTAACAAATTGACACAATGCCAGTGGTAGCGACATCTGTGTCTGAAGCGGCGCCGGTGCTGGCTGCTGCTGACTCCGCCAGCCAAGCGGTTCAGCTGGGGGACGGCTCGGACTCACCTTTTCACCAGGTGGTGCGTTGGGATGCTCTGGACCATGCAAAACTATGACCCGGCCGCCGCTGCCGCACGTCCTCCCTCTTATCCACGTTCACGGCCCATCGGATACCCTCACACCTGGCGTCACGGGGAGTGTGCGGTATCCGTGAGACATGAGTCAGCCATACTGTCCCCCTGCCGCGAGCCCCGCCCGAGCACCAGCACGGCTCGGGGCGGTGTTACCAGGGCGGAGTCAGTCTCGCTGTGACAGGTGGCCCAGGAGGGCCACGGTGGTACCAATTCTTGACCTTTAGCAATAACTCCAATAATGAAACAACTCCAATAACTCTAAAGCGGTGATTTTTCACCACACACCCAAAAGTGAAACCAGTTCTGCGACCCTGCATTTGCCATTGGCCGTCACCTAGTGACAGAATCAGTTGCGCGGCTAGCCGCCGATTCCAGGTGGGCTGGCCGCCGGCCCAGAACCGGCCAGCTCCCGCCAGCCTTGTCCGGGCAAACACGGAAACGTCTCTTATCGACAGGGGTGCGATATAGCTGTGGACTTCTGAAGACGCAAGCATTCCACCTGCTCATGTGAATGAACTTTGCTCCGAAGCTATCCGGCCCCAAATTCTTCTTCGACATTTTTGCCCATCGTTTCACCGTTCATGTGCGCAGTTCGTATACACGGGGTTTTAAAGCGCATGGGCCAATGTAGTGAATTCCTTTAAACAAGCATTTGGGTACCGAATGAAGTGAAATTACACGTTCATTTGACAACTGCTGAATGCAGCCTATGCATTTTGCCTTATTTCGCGTCTGAATACCGACATAGCGCATCATCCACAGGCACCTGATGAAATGGCAGGTGGGACTGACGCCACTGACGGCTTTTGTGTGCCCTCTTCTTCACCTGCCTTTTGGGAACGGTCCGTTATATCTCGTTGCCTACCGTTCTGTCGGTCCGACGCGCCGCGGGGCTGTGCCATGCTTGGACTTAGAGGGCGACACCCCGACGGCGACCGTCACTGCGGCTGACCGAGTCTGCCGCGGCCGGGCCGCTCTCCAGTGGGAGCGGGGCTGTCGCCGGCCGGCGGCGCCGCTCAGATAGGCAGCGCTCGCCGCTGATAGACGGCGGACGGTACATCCGCACGTCGCCCACTGGCAGGAGACGGACGAGCGGACTGCCGCTTCGGCCGCGAGCACTCGGCGAGAGTGGTCATAACGGCCGCCGATGTACCCCGCCGCTGCCCGTGGACTGATCCCGAGCTGACCGGCCCCGTCTCCGGGGTGCCCAGCCGGTCGCCGTGACGGGCAGCCACCAGCTGAGCGGCCACCTGTCCCCGCCGGGGCGGCCTTGGTGCCGACCCGACCCGGGAGGCCCGGCCGTGTGCCGTGCGGTCCGTGACCGTCAGCCGCCCGCCGTCGTTGCAGGATCGTGCTGGAGGCCTCCTACTCGCTGCACGACCGCACCTTCCTCGACAATCTCGGCACCGTCTTGCTCTTCGCCGTCGTGGTGCGTAACGCGGCAGTGCCGAAAGCACGCGCACGCACGCCTGCGCGCGCGCGCGCGCACACGCACGCACGCACGCACGCACGCACGCACGCACGCACGCACGCACGCACGCACATGCACGCACGCACGCACACGCGCAAGCACATTCATGCACGCACGCACGCACGCACGCACGCACGCACACGCGCGTACACGCGCGCACACGCACTTGCTGGCATGCACGCAAACATGATCGCTACTGAACACGTAATGTGCGCATAAACACGCGAATGATCACGGTGTGCTTATGCATCTGCCGCTCACGCAGCCCAAATAATGCACTAATCAAGGTTGCGCGAAAAGAAATGAATGAAGGCGCGCAAGCCCGAACACACACCTGGGATTCGTACCCATTGCCATCATAGATCCGGGCGTTGCCTTCTTCGCGCCTCATGGATGCATGCAATGGCGACATGTTGCCGCACCCATCATCCAAATTATAGCCACCGCGGGGTGTTGCACGTGACAGTGTTTCTCACGCGCCGTACGGTCGTCGACACGGCAGCGTCATGTTTCGCTTTCGCTGCGGCCGATTACAGACCCCCACCACGCGCGTCATGCCGCTACGTGTCCAGCCCCGCTGGCGGAGCCGTCTGCCGATCAGCGCGCGCTTGTGTATGTTTGTGTGTGTGTATGTGTGTGTTTGTGGATGTGGAGCGGGCACCTCCTGGACCGGCCTGCACGGCGGGTGCCTGCCGCGAGGGGCTCGCGTGAGGGCTCAGACGAGGCGGTGTGCGCGCAGGGCACGCTGTTCAACATGTTCATCATCGGCCCGGCGCTGTACGGCCTGGCCGTTTCCGGTGCCATGGGCTCGAGCATGCTGTACGGAGGCGATGCCGTCAACGCCACCGAAGGGGTCTACGACATCTCCAACGTCAGGTAAGACAGTCGACGGTGGACTTGGCAGGGGGAGGAGGAGGGGAGCGGATATACTGAGGGACGATAGGGACTGACTGAACAGCGAATCTCCATGGCAGCTAGGCTTCGAGTGCCGCACCCAAAGCTGAATAATCAATTAAACATCCGGCCGAGCAGCCGTGAACGTTGTGCTTGATGTACGAAAGAACGGCTTCAGCTCCTCTTTTCTTCGGCATTTGTAGTTCAGGTATTTAACGCCGAGTTAACGACGGCCTTCAATGTGTGGTGGGGTCCTGACGAAACGACTTTATCGTGCAATCATTGGTTGCATTGACCGCTCGGCGTTTCAAGCTCTGTTTGTGATCACCGAGTCACCTGCTCCTGATCATGAGAACAGCTTGAAACGTCGAGTGGTGTCAATATAATTAAAGCTTGCATTATAACATTGTTTAACGAGTCCCTCCTGGTATATGGAAGGTCAAGAACCTGACACAAGAACTCTTAAAGCCCTTATCAGGTAAAACTTATGCTTTCTTTCGCCGTCTTGAGGCGCGGTCTGGCGGACACACCAATGTCAGCTCACACGTTGTATCGGCGATGATTAGGCCGTTGTGGCCTGTTACGCCTCCTGCTGGCGGATGTGCCGTGTGATTCACTGGACCAGTGAACTGACCAGACGCGGATCAGGGGCGTCACGTGACGTCAGGTTTGCACCTGACCGCTCCGTTGGTGCGTCGCCGTCGTTTAGTAGATTCCCGGCTTTGACAGTCACGGCAAACGGGTCCCGATCGGGGTTGGGGTTCGAGGCAGATCTGCCTCTTCGGCTGCGCAGTGACATTCACAACACTACAGATTGGAGACTGGCCGTATCTACAGGATATCATGTATTGCCTGACTCGCGCAATGCTGTTTAGACTTGCGGCTAAAATATAATTTCTCTGCTCTCGTGGTTTGCGCAACTGCTTCGCCTTTTTGCGTGCATTTTCCAGTCGACCACGTACTTAACCGTGCTGCTTCAAGATGATTATATATAGTTCAGTACATTCCGTCGGATGACGCCTTTTCTCGGCGACACAGTTCGGTGCAGACGCTGACACCAGGTCTCTGTGCCGCAGTTCGGTGCAGATGCTGACACCGTGTCTCTATGCTGTAGTTCGGTGCAGATGCTGACAGCGTGTCTCTGTGCCGCAGTTTGGTGCAGATGCTGACCTTCTCGTCGCTGATCGTGGCGGTGGATCCTGTGGCCGTGCTGGCCATCTTCCAGGAGGTCGGCGTCAACAAGGACCTCTACTTCCTCGTGTTCGGGGAGAGTCTGCTAAACGGTCAGTGTTCGGGGAGAGTCTGCTGAACGGCCAGTGGTTGGGGAGAGTCTCCTGAACGGTCAGTCGTCGAGGAGAGTGCTGAACGGTCAGTGTTCGCGGGGACTTTGCTGAACGGTCAATGTTCGGGGAGAGTCTGCCGAACGGCCAATGTTCGGGGAGAGTCTCCTGAACGGCCAGTCGTCGGGGAGAGTGCTGAACGGTCAGTGTTCGCGGGGACTTTGCTGAACGGTCAATGTTCGGGGAGAGTCTGCCGAACGGTCAGTGGCTGGGGAGAGTCTGCCGAACGGTCAATGTTCGGGGAGAGTCTCCTGAACGGTCAGTCGTCGGGGAGAGTCTGCTGAACGGTCAATGTTCGGGGAGAGTCTGCCGAACGGTCAATGTTCGGGGAGAATCTGCCGAACGGTCAATGTTCGGGGAGAGTCTCCTGAACGGTCAGTCGTCGGGGAGAGTCTGCTGAACGGTCAATGTTCGGGGAGAGTCTGCCGAACGGTCAATGTTCGGGGAGAGTCTGCCGAACGGTCAATGTTCGGGGAGAGTCTCCTGAACGGTCAATCGTCAGGGAGAGTCTGCTGAACGGCCGGTGGTCGGGGAGAGTCTGCTGAACGGTCAATGTTCGGGGAGAGTCTGCCGAACGGTCAATGTTCGGTGAGAGTCTGCTGAACGGCCGGTGGTCGGTGAGAGTCTGCTGAACGGCCGGTGGTCGGGGAGAGTCTGCTGAACTGTCAGTGGTCGGGGAGAGTCTGCTGAACTGTCAGTGGTCGGGGAGAGTCTGCTGAACTGTCAGTGGTCGGGGAGAGTCTGCTGAACTGTCAGTGGTCGGGGAGAGTCTGCTGAACTGTCAGTGGTCGGGGAGAGTCTGCTGAACTGTCAGTGGTCGGGGAGAGTCTGCTGAACGGCGGTGGTCGGGGAGAGTCTGCTGAACTGTCAGTGGTCGGGGAGAGTCTGCTGAACTGTCAGTGGTCGGGGAGAGTCTGCTGAACTGTCAGTGGTCGGGGAGAGTCTGCTGAACTGTCAGTGGTCGGGGAGAGTCTGCTGAACTGGCAGTGGTCGGGGAGAGTCTGCTGAACTGGCAGTGGTCGGGGAGAGTCTGCTGAACTGTCAGTGGTCGGGGAGAGTCTGCTGAACTGTCAGTGGTCGGGGAGAGTCTGCTGAACTGGCAGTGGTCGGGGAGAGTCTGCTGAACTGTCAGTGGTCGGGGAGAGTCTGCTGAACTGTCAGTGGTCGGGGAGAGTCTGCTGAACTGTCAGTGGTCGGGGAGGGTGGATGTCGGCGCTCGTCCCGCACGCCTCGCCTCCTGCGGGGGGGGGGTCTAGCCCGGCTTCTCGGCCGGTCAGTCCTGTATCCCCATCCCGTGGTGCTGCGTATCGGCGAGTGACCGCTTTTGAAGCGTTTCCGATTACGATGATTTGATTTAGGTGTGGTTTGACGGGCAGTCCAGGAAACAAGCACGTGGCAAAGCGAAGATGGGGCGTAAGGGCCGAGTGGTCGGCGTCTTTGGCTACCACGCGAGGGCCTGGGTTCGCAACCTGGGTTCGAACCCCGACTGCGTCATGACCCCTGAGGGCTAATATTACCTCTGCCGTCGCTGACACTTCTCAAAATGCTGTGCGACGATGTGCGTGGCTTTCCTTGAAAAAAAAAAAACAGGCGAATCCCCTGCCCTTAAAAAGCGAATAGCGATGTTGTAAAAACGGTGCATTATCTACAGGTAGCATTACTGGCGTCCGAAGACAAAAAGGCTAAGTGGTATCTTACCTAGTGACGCTCAGGCCTTTGTGGCTTTGGACGGCAGATTAGAATTATGGTAGGTTATTTCAATTATTTAGAACGTATTTATTGTGATGATTTTTTAGGATTTGTTTTATATTATTTATTTATTTATGTTACTATATGTCTTATCATTTTCAACTTCATTATTTTAAGATGGAGACGGTTTTTTGCTGACTGAATGTTAACTTGGCGAAGATTGCCTGTACCAGACATTACTGTGGCGCTGTTGGCAATGGACGCGGCTCTGGAGCCGCAGTGCTGTGCGTTGGCACGTGCAGGATAGTGTCGTGCAGGATGTTATTGCGAGCCGGTCCCGGGCCCATCCCCGGCTGCCAGACGCCTGCTATCTGCCGTGCGCCGTCGGATGGTGCTTTCTCCGGTCGGTGGCTTTCTGTGTGGCCGATCGGCCGACGTCCTCTGTATCGTTGGCGGCTGGGTCGCGTACAGGACGTCGCGACAGGGATTTGGTTGGGTCGGCTCGAGCATGACTCAAAATGTTGCGCTCAAAATGTTGGAGTGCGATCCAGGCGCGTGGAACATCGCATGCTTTCATCCTAGCTCTTTACGGGTCTGCCTCGATTTCTTAGTTGCGGGCATTTTTTTACGGATCATGCATCGTTACAGATCATGCACTTTTACGGATCATGCACTATGTTGCGTTTCGGGTCATGCACCGTTGCAGATAGTTACGTACTGCCACGCTCAGAGCGCCTGAGGTATTTATCATGGAGCACATGCTGTCCGCGATCCTCCTGATCAGCAGCGACCCTCGCGCTCCGACCGTGAAAGCCCATCCGTTGAGCAGCGTCAGTTTGGTCAGGCGTGTGGTCTGATGTCAGCCCAGGCAGCCGCGTAGAGAGCGTTCGAATACCAGTCTTGCGTTTGTGACCGCCAGACCCCATGCAGAGAGCGCGGGGCTAACGAGCTGGTGTGCGACCGTTCCTTGCCGCAGACGCCGTCACGGTGGTTCTCTACAACGCCATGGTGGCCTTCACGGGCATGGAGGGCGAGGACATCGCCTACGACCAGATCCTGCTGGCCGTGGCCGCCTTCTTCTGCGTGTCGCTGGGCGGCCTGGCCATCGGCATCATCTTCGGCGTGCTCACGGCCGTCATCACCAAGTACACTCCGGACGTCAGGGGTGAGCGCCGCCCGACGGCCCGGCCTCGGCCCCACGGCCGACGCACGCCCTGGCTGGCGTCGGTCCCGCGCGGCCACGGATCAGCGGAGTGGAAATCGAGCCTGCGCTGGGGTTTCTGTCTGGCCGAGACGCACCCGCGTCGCTCTGCACGTTGCATGATGTCGGACGAAGCACTTACGCTCAGCTGAGTGCTGGGAAGACATTTGCTTCATCGAAGGGAGCGGCTTTAGCTGTTGTCGACTACCTAGGTATCAGGGGAATACAGCGGAAGTGAATGTGGCATGAAGCGGCTTTGTCCACGGCGCCGAACAAACGGCCTCAAACGTATGCCACTCCTGCCATGTCGTGTCACGCGGCACGGATAACACTAATGTGGCGGGAACAAGACGATCTTATGGCGGCGGACTCCGTCGTGGCGCGCATCAGTGCCGCCTGCGAGGCCGCTGGGGTGTGCTCGTGTGCTGGTGGCGCCGCCTGACGCCCCGCCGCGCGCCGGCCGACAGTGGTGGAGCCGCTCTCGCTGCTGGCCATGGCGTACCTGGCCTACCTGTCAGCCGAGCTGGTCCACTTCTCCGGCATCATCGCCACCGTCGGCTGTGGAGTGGTGCAGGCGCACTACGCCATGAAGAACATCTCCAAAAACTCCTACATCACCATCAAGTACTTCGTTACCATGGCCAGGTGAGGCCGGCGGCTTCTCACACAAATAGTAACCTCACCCGAGTGTTTGTCGTTTCAATAAACCAAGGCGTCCTGCTTTCATTATACGTTTCTCCGGGTGCCTAATATCCCAAGCGCTTTTACATGAGACTTGTTTTAAAAAAGCTGTGAATAGCAGAAGAGTTTAAAAGCTACAAAATCACCGGGCCCGCGCGAAATCAACCCCCTGTCAGGCGGCAGTGACACCGATCGTGTGCGGCACCATCTTACTGTTGTTTCGCGGCGGCACACCTCGTTCGTGACATCACTGCGGAAACGTGGCCACGGGAGCGCGGAGGAGAGGAGGTTTAGTCGAGCTCAGCAACGGTCCCCGGCCTGCTGCCTGTGCGGCGGCCCGGCCTTTCCGGGTCTGAGCGCTGCTTCGACTCTCCGCCGGGTTCAGCGGCGGTCCCCGGTATGATGCCTGTGCGGCGGCCCGACCTTGCCTGGTCTGAGCGCTGCTTCGACTCTCCGCCGGCAGCTCGACCAGCGACACCATCATCTTCATGTTCCTGGGGATGGTGCTGGTCAGCAAGGATCACCACTGGCACACCGGCTTCTCGCTGTGGACGCTGGTGCTGTGCCTGGTGGTGCGGTTCATCGGTAGGTCCGCCAACAGCAGCCAGCCGGCCGTCCAGCCACCGCTCGCCGCCCTGCTGGCGGTCTGCGGCCCTGCGAACGGCACCGTCATAGCCGGCTTCGACCCGCCCCTTCACCCGTGTGGACTCGTGGCCCAGTGAAAACTCACGAAATGGGCGTGGAGTGTCGTACGGCTCCTCAATAGGGAACGGAGCGCGTGGGGTTAGGAGCATGCGACTCACTGGGCATTATCTCGGGCTGTGTTTGGTCCCGCCTGCGGTAGTGTTTCACACCAGGCAGGCAACCTTCCGTTATGAGGCTGCCCTGGAAGCCGATGTCGACCAAGGCAATGAGCGGCATGTCTTCAAATGAACCGACGAACTGAGCCCGATCTCATACGACGAGCTCAGCTTTCAGCTGTGGGAGACTTAAATCAGCCGGATGACAGGGACATCCCTGGTTTGGGATAGCAGATTAGGGATGTGCGACGTAACGGGACCAGGATTTCAGCTGTGAATGCATTTTCAGTCTTATCATTTACACCATCAATAGTAATATGCCTTCAGCTGTCAGCTTTGCATGACTGAATTCACACGTTGGTTACATCCAAATTTAGAGGATAATCAACGGCAGAATCAAACAAAAGCGCAAGCTAAAGCAAAAGTCCCGGATATTCGTTTTAAACAAGTCGCATCTTTGGGATCTCTCCCACACCATTGTTGGGGATAGTTAATGTTATGCTTGTGCGCATCCCGCAAGCCTGTAACTGACCCGGCCAGTCCAGTCCGCGGGGCCGCTGCGGCCGCCCCGCGGCTGTGTCAGCGAGCACTGCCGCCCACCCCTAGGTGTGTACTTGCTCAGCTGGCTGGCCAACTTCCGCCGGCTGAGGCGCATCGGTCGGAAGGAGCAGTTCATCATGGCGTACGGAGGCTTGCGCGGCGCCGTCGGCTTCTCGCTGGTGGTCATGCTGCGTGGCTCGGCCATCGACGAAACCACCGTCCGCATCTTCGTCACCACCACGCTCTTCATCGTCCTGTTCACCGTGTTCGTACAGGTGCGTGGAGCTGCTGCCGGGTGTCTCCTCGGGCCGCGCTCTCCTAGCTCGCGGCTTTATGTTCTTTGTTGCGCTGACGAACTGCACCGGCTGCGACGAAGGCTGGTAAGCGGTGAGCCACAATGACTGTATGCGACGTGGGACGACCGTGAATTAGTGCCGGCTCGTCCAAAATGCCCGCAGTCAACAAGTCTGTAATGAGACGCCAAGTGTTTCACCACATATTCTCTGTATTATGCGTGGTAGCTCTGATGCTTCCGGTGCTGAGATCGCGCCGCGCGTCCGGGCACTGGTAGAGCGTTGTAGCTCTGATGCTTCCTGTGCTGAGATCGCGCCGCGCCTCCGGCCACTGGTAGAGCGTTGTAGCTCTGATGCTTCCAGTGCTGAGATCGCGCCGCGCCCCCGCAGGGCTCGACCATCAAGCTGCTGGTGGGCCTGTTCAACATCAAGCTGGAGGAGACGGAGGACCCGACATTGACCGAGGAGATCGCCGCCACCACCGTCGACCACATCACGGCCGGCGTCGAAGAGATCATCGGCTACCGCGGCTCTAACTTCTTCAAGGTGCGCTGCGCCGCCGGCCGGCAGCGGCCCGCATGGCAGGAGGCCCGCCCCTCCCCCCCCCCCCCGTCATGCGGACGGGGCCCAGTGCCCAGGCGCCCCCAGTGCCCTGGGCGTCCCCTGCCAGGACGCTCTGGGGACGTCCTGCGATCGGGTGCCAAGCGTGGTCCATCCGTGCGGTACCGTCGCCGAGTTGTTCTGGTGATCGGATGACGTGTTTGACTTCCCTGAGCAACCCCGAGACACATCCGCGGGCGTCGTCACAGGCGAGCCTCTGGCCGCCACCCGTCCTGTCACCCATCCCGCCACCTCGCCGGCGCAGATCTGTCGCTTGACCTCCCCTTACGACCTCCATGTCTGCGGGTGCCTCACTTGGCGAGCGGCCGTCACCGGCCGCTGACCTGGCCTGTCACCTCTTACCTGGAGCTGACCAGCCGGTGACCTCTGGCCGAGCGCTGACCCGGCCTCTGACCTCTGACCAAGTGTCACCCGCCGTCACCAGGAACGGCTGGAGTGGTTCGACGAGAAGTACCTGAAGCCGCTGCTCATCAGCGACTCGCTCGACTCATCACTGGCGCGGCTCTACGACAAGCTGGTGCTAGACGAACACTTCGCCAACCTGTACGGCCCGGCCGCCGCCGTCGAGACGGAGAAGGGCGGCATGGCGGACATCGTGCAGCACGAGGTGCGTAGGCGCCGCTCCCGGCGGGGAGTGAAGAGCAGCAGAGCAGCCCCCGCCGGCGTCGGGCGACGACGTGTCGGACGCCGTCGCCGGGCGCGCTCAAGCAAACCGATCAATGGGGCTTGTGGACGGTACTGGTGCGCGCGGTTAGGAGGGCTGTTCTTGCTCTGTGACCTCAGCGATGAGGGGTGCTTACGGCGGACGGCGGTGGGGCCGACGACCGCCAGTGTACTGCAGCCGGTCCACACCGTCAGCCCCCTGTCTGTTCCGACAACCCCTGTGCATACGTCAGCCGCTGTTGACACCATCAGTCCCCTATTCACACCGCCAACTCCTGTTCCCACCGCCAGCACGTGGTCACAACGTCAGTCCCCTGTCCACACCGTCGGTCCCCTGTTCACATCTTCGACCCCCTGTTCACACCGTCATCCCCCTGTTCACACCGTCAGCTACCGCTCACGCCAGTCCCCGTGCGGCCCACTCACGCCGCGTGACATGTGGACAGGCGGACTTCTTCCTGCCGGAGGAGGATCTGCTCCACCTGAAGCGGCGCTCCAAGGTGCTGCGCGAGTCGATGCGACGGGACTCGCTGCGAGGCTTCCCGCACCCGCTCAGCAGGGTCGGCTCACTGCGCGACCGGTTCACGCGGCGCTTCTCCTCCACGTCAGTCACGCCGCGTACCGCGTAAGTGTCGTGCCATGTGGCCCGAATACGTCTGACGCGAGGCGGTTCGCATGACTTCGCCGCGTCCCCGTGAGTGTCACGCCATGCGACCCGCACGGGTGTTACGCCATGTGCCCCCACCTGGGTGTTACGCCATGCGACCCCAGTGGGTGTCGCGTCAACTGGCTCTTGCGTCACAGGATACAGTCCTCTGTTGCAGAAAAGTGTCCACCCCATGTGGGACGCCACACAGCGGTGCTAACGTCGCCGTGTTTGCCTGAATGCCTGTGTTTTCCTCGCCGCCGCGCCGTGCTCCGCCGCGACTGTGTGCCCGCAACTCGTCCGCATGGCAGCCGGAGTTCGTCAGCTGCGCTGCTCCGTTGCTCGTACAACGACACGGTGCCATGACCCCGATGGCAGGCTGCCGACAATCGAGCTGCTGTGCGAGCAGCCCGCCTTGTCGCCAGTCGGGCTCTGGATGTCCGCCTACGCTCGGGAGGCGGCCCATTGTCGGGCTGTGTTGCCTCTGCCAGGGCCGTGTGCCTGGCTGGGCGGTGTGCGTGGGCCGCTGCCGTCGGAGCCGTCTGACGGCGCCGGCACCGGCTCCTCCGCCAGGGACTCGGAGGGCGGCACCGCGCTCGGCTCCATCACCGAGCCCACCTCGCCCACCACGCCCTCCTTCAACCCCGAGGACAACTACCGGACATACCCGCACGACGGCGCGATGCTGCGCAAGGCCTTCAGGAACATCCCCTACAACAAGGTGCGGCCGGCCGCACCGCTGCTGGGAGTGGCAGTGGTAGGGGGGAAGACGCGGGGGAGCGGGGCGGGCGCCGGTGGGGAACGTCGCTGGAAGTGTTGCGGTCACGGCGCCGGGACGGGTCCCGCCAGGTGCGGGGTTTTGTCGTGCGGCTGGGCCTGGCGGGGGGTGCTAAGGGGTGCCAGCGGAGATGGCGGGCGTGGAGATGCTGACCCTAACAACAGGACCCGTGTGCTTTGCTGCAGAGGCGGATGAAGGTAAACGGAAGGGCGCCGCGCCCTGGGAAACACACGGTCAGGACATGGCGGCGAGTGCACGGCAGCGTTCAATGTCATGTGATACATCTGGCTTTCTGTGGTCGTTGCACAGTTCGGGCTACTCCTCGAGGCTGCAGCCACCTTTGCTTGTTCTTGCGGGTCCAGGTGCACCTCGTACCGTCTGCGGACCATGCGGCTGGAGGCCCGCCTGCGTGCCGGTTGGCTGGTGCGGGCGAACGTATTCCACACAACTCAACATTTGCTTTACTGGGCATACGAGGACGTCGTCGCCCCGACAAAAATGCATGTACCGATCGGAGGTGTCGTCTTTGGAGCGCGTACCACACTGGGTGTTGGGATTTTGTACATTCTCTATTCATAACTCTTCCTGATAATGTGTTTACATCTCCTGTGCATCATGGCCTGTGCTCCTGAATACCTCCCTGAAGAAGATCGGCAGAAGTTTGTATGATGCCTGCGGATCTGGAGGGGTCCAGAGAACTTTTCTTTATGGAATGTGAATAGTATCGATTTCGTCGCAAAAGGTGGAGAAAGCACCATCCCGCCATGATGGCAGACGTTCTCTCATTTTTGGGGATGAGTCTGGTGAAGCTAAACCCTGCGGACGCAAAATTCTTGCGTCACGCATGCTTTCAATATTTTCGCGGAACAAAATTATATCGAGCGGTAGCGATGCTTCGTGGTGTCATGCAAGATCTTCTGTGGTGTCTCATTCTCTCCTTCCGACCGAGAACGCAAGAGCTGGCCATTCTACACCTCGCGCCTGCTCCGCTTGGCTGTCTCAGTCGATAGGGCGGCGCGGCTGCTCCTGTTGTGCCTTCCCATAGCCTCGAGCCGCAGCCTCCTCTGCTGTCAGCACGTGCCGCCAGCACTCTCGTCCAGTGCCGTCTCTAGACGCAGCGTGGTGCCAGCGAAAATGTATTTCTTGATGTGTATTAATGAGTGCTTCGGGCTTGTTTGTATGGATGGAGTGATTTTTTGGACCGTTGCCGTCGCCGGTGGTGCCATTACCCACGGAACGTTTCGGCTGGTCACCTCTCAGGCCGTCTTCATGCGTGGAGTGCTGTCAGTCTTGTTCAGGACTGGAAGACGTACAGCGTATAGCCATGCATGTGTAGCAGCCTGGAAAGCATGCGACGACTCCGAGCTTTGAACCCACGACCTTATGGTGAGACACAGAGACTAGCCAGTACAGTATCAAATTGGGCCACTTCTCATCGAGTGGTCTGCAATTCATCCGTAAGTACTAAAGCGGTGACAGTCTCGGTCTTCGAATCACGAGGTCGTGGGTTCAAAGCTCGAGGGCGCCGAGTGCCTTCGAAGGTGTGATACATACATGGCCATACATCAAACACCCCCTGGCTGTATCAGAACCTACGAACCCAGAGCGACAGGTGCATATGTATCATCCGAAACGTTATCTGAAGAATAGCCCCAGTGACAAGGACAACAGTGCCAACGATTATTCCATCGGGTGTATTTTCCCGTGGCGGCCGGTCGCGATGTCCGCGACGTCGAAGTCGTGTGTCGGCCGCTCCAGCCGCCGCGAGCTGGCCGCCCCACCCCGTAACGACTCGCACCGACGCCGCCGCGGTGCGCTCCTCTGACCCCGCCCCCTCCCCATGCCCCGCCCGCAGCTGCACTTCCGCTACAACCCGAACCTGATCGACGAGGAAGACCAGGAGATGGAGACGCACCTGCGGCGGCGCCGCGCCAACGCGCAACGCTTCAGCCAGCTGGCACAGGTGGTGGCCGCCAAGCAGGCGGACCAGAGCAAGGACCGCGAGCTGCGACGCACCGTCTCAGGTAGATCGTGGTGCCGTCCGCCGGCGGCGACGCCGGTCCGGCCCCGCTCGTTCAGCGTGTGCGCCGGCCGGCGGCGCCGCAGCGGCGCCGCGCGCCACGCCCGGCTCGCCTGGCCCGCCACCATGCCCGTCATCTTTTCCAGCACGAACATCTCCAGCGGGGACGGCGATGCGCCGGCCGCCGCCGGCTCGGCCGCTGCCGCCACCGCGCCGGAGATGCCGCCTGCTTTCAGTGTGATGGTGGCCCCGGCCGATGGCGGCCCGCCGGCGGCGGCCGACCAGGCCCCAGCCGCCGCCGAGCCGGCCGCGCCGCCGCCGTCCGTGCCGCCGCCGTCCGGGCCGCCGCCGCCCGCCTACGACTCACCCGGCGTCGGGTTCCTGCGGCGCGGTGTGCCGCCGCGGCGGCCGCCGCCGCCGGCGCACCAGGCGCTCCACCGCCGCCTGTCTGGGCCGGCGCCGGCGCCGCCGCGCCGGCCGCTGCTGCCGGCGCAGCGCAGCCTCGACCTGGACGCGGTGCCGGAGCGCAACGGCGTCAGCTCGGTACACTCAACCAGCCGCTCGTCCGTGTGCTCGTCGGCGCGTTCGTCGCAGCGCTCGCTGGCGCGCGGCCGTCGCCCGCTGGACGGCTCGCGGCGGGCGCTCTGCCGGCCGTGCGCCGTCCGGCTGCTGGGCGTGGTGGTGGAGCGGCCCGTGCCGCGCCAGCTGTGTCGCTATTGCCTGGGGCGGCGCGCCAGCGGCTGGCTGACCGGCCTGCCGCCGCAGCAGCCGGAGCAGCAGCCGGAGCAGGAGCAGCTGCCGCGGCAGGCGGAGCAGGAGTCGCAGGTGCCGCAGCAGGAGCTGCAGCACCACTCGCCGCCGTCGTCAGCACCGCAATTGTCATCGCCATCGCTACAAGAGGAGCAGCAGTGACGGCAGTGATCTGTCCTATCCTAGGAGCGACGTTGGCCGTGTCTCATTGCCCCTTCGTCCGTGTTGTTTTCTTCCCCGTGCGATGCGTGGGCTCTGGTGCGTGGTAAGCTAGCGGGTGTTGGTTCTGCTATAATTATTTCTCCGTTCTGGGGCTTAGTTTTTAGTTTTGGACGAGGGGTTTAGGTTGGTGCCACAGCGCTGTCTGTGTGTGCTGTGTTGTATTCATTTTCAAGACCGACACTTAAGAGGCTATTCAAATGCATTATTATCGTATAGTCGGCGAGCTGGCCTGCAGAAATGTGTTTCCGGTGTTTTTTTATATTATTTACATGCTATCTCTTGAACGGGCTTGAACTAGAGCCTACTCAAATGTGTGCTATTAAGTACGTTTTGCTGTAAACTGTAGAGGCTATCAACATACTCTAAACCAACATGGATTATGATCGATGTATTTTCGAGGCTTATTGCGTGCAATCTTCTGGATTGCGCGTGATATCATTTGTGAGGCTTATTGCGTACAATCACGTGATGCTATTTACATGATGCGATCTTTATAGATAGCGTGTGATTGTCCCATTTCACGTTTTGTGGTCACAGCCGGTTTTTGGGTTGTTTCGTGGAATATTTTGATTTTTTGGGATGGTTCATGGCTAGGCATGGCAGTGCATTTTGTTTCCTTAAACTTAGATGGTGCCTGGATACTGCTTGTGATTTTCAGATGATTCTTACTGTGTTTAAGGTGTAGCTATGTGTGAGGCACAGTGAGGCTACATAAGCTCTGCATAGTTTGTTGTAATCAGCTTGTAGCATATATAATAGTGTCACGCTTTTAGGTAGGCTCGTGTGTGTATACATTAGCATTAGTTGTCTGAGTCAGAAATGGACACTTCCATGAAAACCCCTCTTTTGAGGGTCCCCGTCCACGGCCTTAGGTCTTCACGCCCCGGTATGCAGAGAAAGCGTGTGCTGATGGTCTGACTCGTGCTGTGCCAAGGGACGCCTACCGTGGTGACCTGACCCGTCCAGTGTGTCGCGCTCCGCCGGCGACGCCCGCCCCACCTGGTGGCGGTGCCGCCGGCGGCCGGCAGGCGGCGCTGGTGCCGCTGCCGGCCGCCGGCGCCGCGGCCGCTGTGCGGTGCGCTGCGCCGTCGCTATGGCTGATCCCCAGGCCGGGGGGTGTGGCGCGGTCCAGCGTAACACGCCGTGGCTGTTCAGCGAGTGTGTCCAGGGAGCGGCGCGTCTGCGGTCGGGGCTGAAGGCTGCCTGCTCGCCTCCCGAACAGCTGCCTGCGAGCGATAAAGCAGAGTGATAAACTGCATGTTCGCACGCGTGCGTAAAGCTCTCCCGGCTCTGCCTGTGCCCGTCTGCGCGGGACCGCTCTCCTGGAGGGCGCACCGGACCGCTCAGATTTTGTCCTGCTCCTCCGCAACACAGCTGGGCTCTGCCCCGCGGCATTCCTCCAGAAGCTTGCTCGCGTTTTGATGACGCCGTTTGTCGTGCAACGGGGGAACCGTTTGATATGTTAGTTTACGTCTTCCTCGTTTTCGCCTCCAAGGGGTGCAATTCGTCTGGTATAGCAAGTCCGTTACCCACCACCCCCAGCAGTCATGTGGGATAAAGCTCTTCCCCTCAAATCCAAGTATCACGTGTCCTTGTACTCGGATGGAATCACTTCCCTGACGCTTCCCTCCGTCTAGCCGTCCCAGCCCTCAGCAAGCTAACTGGTGCCATTTTGCGACTGTTGGCACCCGTAAGACTGCATTTTGCCGCCCGATACCTTCGCTTTCAGAACAGCAGCCTTTAACTGTCCCGCAGTGCGTTTGAGTGCTATGAGACAACAGCGTTGACGCGCGCCAGAAAGCGGCGACCTTTACCCCTTGTCTCTCTCTCTCTCTCTCTCTCTCTCTCTCTCTCTCTCTCTCTCTCTCTCTCTCTCTCTCTCTCTCTCTCTCTCTCTCTCTCTCTCTCCTCTCTCTCTCTCTCTCTCTCTCTCTCTCTCTCTCTCTCTCTCTCTCTCTCTCTCTCTCTCTCTCTCTCTCTCTCTCTCTATCTCTCTCTCTCTCTCTCTCTCTCTCTCTCTCTCTCTCTCTCCTCTCTCTCTCTCTCTCTCTCTCTCTCTCTCTCTATCTCTCTCTCTCTCTCTCTCTCTCTCTCTCTCTCTCTCTCTCTCTCTCTCTCTCTCTCTCTCTCTCTCTCTCTCTCTCCTCTCTCTCTCTCTCTCTCTCTCTCTCTCTCTCTCTCTCTCTCTCTCTCTCTCTCTCTCTCTCTCTCTCTCTCTCTCTCTCTCTCTCTCTCTCTCTCTCTCTCTCTCCTCGTCTCTCTCTCTCTCTCTCTCTCTCTCTCTCTCTCTCTCTCTCTCTCTCTCTCTCTCTCCTCTCTCTCTCTCTCTCTCTCTCTCTCTCTCTCTCTCTCTCTCTCTCTCTCTCTCTCTCTCTCTCTCTCGCTCTCTTCTCTCTCTTCTCTCTCTCTCTCTCTCTCTCTCTTCTCTCTCTCTCTCTCTCTCTCTCTCTCTCTCTCTCTCTCTCTCTCTCTCTCTCTCTCTCTCTCTCTCTCTCTCTCTCTCTCTCTCTCTCTTCTCTCTCTCTCTCTCTCTCTCTCTCTCTCTCTCTCTCTCTCTCTCCTCTCTCTCTCTCTCTCTCTACCTCTCTCTCTGTCTCTCTTCCCCCTCTCTCTCTCTCTCTTCCCCCCTCTCTCTCTCTCTTCCCCCCTCTCTCTCTCTTCCCCCCCCCTCTCTCTCTCTTCCCCCCCTCTCTCTCTCTCCCTGGCACGCGCGCTCTCTCTCTCTCCCTCTTTCTCTGAGCGATGGTTTGGTTGATGCCTCGCCGTCTGCTGGTGGTCCGCTCGCCTGCCCCCCAGCGTGCCGTGCCGTGCCGTTGTGTTCCCTGCCGCGGCGGTCCGCGGCGCCGCCTGACCGTCCGGCCGCCGGTAGTGCACGCGCCACGGCGTCTCTCGGGCCGCGAGCGGGTGCGCCGGGCCTCGCTCTTCCGTCTGCACTCGCTCGACCCGGCAGCCGCGGGCGGGCGTCAGTCGTCACCACCGCCGCCGCCGCCGCCGCCGCCTCCGCCACCGCCTCCGCCGCCACCCCGGCCGCCGCCGCCGCCTCCAGACTTCCCGCAGGGTGGGACCGCGCCGTCAATGCCGCCTCCGGACGTCCCGCAGGGTGGGACTGCGCCGTCAACGGGAGTGACGCCATGCACCGCACCGCCGGCGGCGACAGTGGCCGACTGCCGGGCCCCGTGGCCGCCACGCACGCCTCATCACCGCCTTCTTGGTGGCGGGTGCCTGCGCCTGGGGTGGTGTCGGGCCCTGGACCGCGTGTGTGACGTCCGCTGGCACTGGCCGCCGACCGATGGACGCTGCCCGCTGTCGGTTGGTCGGGGCTGGATCATTAACGAGGCTGACGGCGAGGAGACCCTCGCTCCGGTGCCGGCGGCGCATGCGCTCCGAGCTGTGCCGTTCAGGAGACACGCTGCGGCCGTCGGACTGTTTCAGGGCCGCAGTCGGCCTGCCTCGTAAGCTAATGCGGGCCTGGCTGTTGAAATCCTATCATTGCTTGATTTTGGTGCTAGTCTCCTGGATCGTGTGTCGGGTTTTGACGAAGCTTTAAGACGGAATAAGCTTCGATGGAGACTTGATCGAAGGACATGCTTGACATTGCGATCACCACTAAGTGTTGACGAATACCTAGCTCGAAGAGCGTCTCCAGTGTGCAATTTTTACGATGAGGCTAAAGCGAGGTAATTGAAATTCTGACCCAACTATTCCAGTATGTTATAAAAGTTCTTCAGCGCGACGCTGTTACGGAATGAAGCGGAGCGTGGGGAGGGGGTCGGGTAACTCTGAGTTTTGAGCGGCATCCTTCGGCCCAGTGTCAGTGGTCCTTTCGCATGACATCCCCCTTCCCCGGCTGTGTTCGGCACTCCGCTTGGTGGTGGTGGGAGGTGTGGCGTGCATGTGTAATGCACAACGTGGTGGGATGACTAGGACCTTTTTCTGCTTCCGTCATACAGGCACAGGATTTGGGAATTGTTCATGGGTGGGCCGATGAAGCGAACATGGTGCATCCGGTTGATCTGTCTCGCGAAATGCGGGCGACGATCCTGCTTCAAATAAGCGGCGACCAAAAGGTCATTCAACTGTGCCATCCCTCTGCCGATACGTGAAAGCCTGTTTTCTTTTACCCCATATTCCGAATGATACCAGCATCTGACCTTTGGTTATCACCGTTCCTTACACAGCTCTGTTAACCACGTTTGCCTCGTCCGAAGCGTGAACTGATCGCAAGTGTTCCAAATTACAGGCACGTGCTGTCATGTCCACCCTGTTTAACATTTCAGCATGCACTATCTCCAGCGCTGTGTTGTGACCGTTTTCAGCACTTCACGCTACGATGTGCCATGTCTAACCACGAGACATGAGTGTGTTCGCACCTCGTGTGGCCGCACGTGTACATACGCTCACATGAGGGGTGTCAGTCGGTGGTGGTCGGGTTCTGTCGTGGCGTCGGTCAGCCGCCGCCGTTCGCTCGGCTGCACTGGCTGGACCAAGGGCGGCGCCATGGTGTTCCGGCTCTTAGCGCGCTTCGAGATATATTCCTTTGGCGTGACTTACGTCTGTCATCCATGTGACGCCTGGAATGCAACATATTAACCGTGAAAACAGATCTTTGGGCGCTCGGCCGGCGAGCCTGAACACAGTGGCGCCGCCCTGGTGCTGTAGCGTCATATTGCACGTGATGACTGACGTTGTATTCCAGGAACTACTGACCTTGTGTATATGCGCCGCTGTCTGTAGCTGTTGACGAGGAACGAACGGGTTGCTGTAACGTGCAGGGTGTAGTGGCAGAAACTACTCACTGTGTAGAGACGCCGTAACCGCTCTCAGCAGTCCATGTGTCGAGCGCTGACGCATTCGCCAGCGACGTTCTGAAGCCCGGCCAGTCAGCTTAAGGCTACCTGCCCCCCCCCCCCCCCTCGTCTCAGCCGTTCTGAACACCGGCCGTCCAATCTGTGCTCTTGCGCTGAGCCCTGGCCGGGCCGGCGCCGCCGGCGACTGCGACGGCCGGGCCCACAGACCACTAACCGGGCGGCGCGGCCGGCTGTGCCTCCCAGGCGGCGGGCGCGAGGCGCATCTGCACATGCCGGGCGTGGCCGACCTGGTGATGGCGCAGCGGCGGCGCGCGCTCGAGCGCCAGCGCCAGCGCTACGTGTCGGCGCCGTCGTCAGGCTCGCCGGCGCTGGGGGCCGACGAGGCGGCACTGGGCCCCATCTCGGAGGAGTCGCTGAGAACCGAGGATCGCGAGCTGCTGCCGCGCCTGGCGCCGCAGCCGCAGCCGCGCGCTCGGCCCCGCTCCTCCGGCGCCGACGACAACAACGAGGAAAGCCGGGTGTAGGGTCGCGCCGCCGCCGCCGACTCCCGCGGCGCCGCGTGTCGCTGCCGACGGCGTGTGGCGGCCGTCCCGTCTCTCCCGACACGCCATCCGACGCGCTCCGGTCTGGACGTGCGGTGTGGGTAAGAGGGTGGCACGCTCAGTACCGCAACGGCAGGAAGAGGTGCGCGGTCGCTGGTCAGAGCAGACGGAGGACGGGAAGCGTAGGAGGTCGGCCGACCACGTGCCCCTGGCTGGGTTACCAGTCGGAGGGGATGTCTCTGGAGGTTCGGTCGGACACGACCCGATCGCTAGTTCTGTGATGACACGTTCTGGGACTGCTTACGGAAGGGCCTCGGCTTCGCTTTTGTTACTCTCCAACCTGCGCGGCGAATGGCTGATTCTGTGTGCACTCTGCCTGGTCCGGTTTTGGAGGTGATCCTGGTTTTTCGCACGCTTGTATTCTCGTCTATTGATGAACGTCGTCCAGGATTTGTTCTCTGGTATCCCATGCGGCTGATTTCTCGCGACATAATTCGTTTCTTTGGCACATGACCTCGACTTCCGTCGTGTCCCCGTATGCCACTCATGCCGCCCGCTGTTCAGTACGCTCCGTCATGATCGAGCTTGGCCACGGTCCCGCGCTGCGCCCGGGCTCTTCGCGGTCGCCTGAAGCACCTATCACTCCGTCCCGGCGGGGGTGCCGCGGTGCCTTGTGCTGCCCGTGCGCCGCCCGCGTCGGCCAGGGCTGCTTGCCAGGTCCCGACGGCCGCGGCGGCGTGCGTGCGCGACGCGCGGGGCTCACCGCTGTGCCCGAGGCGGCGGGCCGCGGCGCCGAGCACCGGCCGGTCCGGCCGCTGCGCCCGGGGCAACCAACGGCGCCTGGTCGCCGCGCCCGCGACTTTGGGCCGTCGGTCTGGGGCTGCGCAGCGGCTGCCTCCGTTTATTCACGTCGTCCTCTGGCGGTGCACCATGGCTGCATCTCCTCCGTGGCTGGCGATGCTCTCAACAATGTACTTTTGTTACGATTTAGCTGTTAGTGGCGGACTCTGTCGGCTGAGCACGGGTCGGGTGTTGCCGTTGCCCCACGGGCCGTTGCCGTTGCCCCTCGGCTCGGGTCGTCTCGTGTTGCCGTCTGGTGGCCTGCCGCGCAGGATCGCCATTTTGTACCATCTGTTGATGCGCCGCTCACAAGGCACAAGTCGCTCGTGTGCCACAAGCGTCGCGTGTGCGTGACGTCACGTGCGGCACGTGACAGCGAGTCCGACTGTCGGTTGATGTGTAGGCTCGGCGGCCGAGGCGGCGGTGTAGCGGCCTCCGCCGGTCTGTTGGTGTCTTTGTACTGGTGTTACCGTGGTGCGCGCGCGATAGAGTCTTGCTTGCCACAGACGGGGACATTTGCATTTGGTGCATTGTGTGCTCCGTCTTGTTATCGTGTGCTGCGTGTGCGTGCTGCAGCCTTTCTTCCGAGTGGGCTGATTGGATGGGTGCTTGTTGCGACGGCAGGCGAGAAAAGTGCAACCCGATAAAAATATAGCACATGCAAATATACCATGGTGTAATCAGAATTGTCCGCTTCTAACGGATGAAGACGGTTTCTGGGCAGGCTCTGCTGTCCTTCGGATGACTCGGAGAAAGTCGGCAGAAAGTGTTGAGTGCAGGGTAGGTGGAGCCACACGGGCGCCGACTGTGTACGGCTGGGCGCCGCCGGGAGCCGCTCCCCAGGCAGCCGCCTTCCTGCTGACGTGGTGACGTTGGAGGGGTGCGGTCGGAACCGCCGCCAGACAAGCCAACCGAACATGCACGTGGCAGGGTGCACGCACATTACGGAGAAATAACGACACGCACCGTCAAAAACGTCATATTTTCACGGAGGAGCATTCCCGCCGGCTCCCCATGTTATCTGTCATATGCCTCCTCGGGGTGAGTGGGACGCCGGTGCGGCCTCCAACTGATGCACGACAGCAGTCGACTGAGCTCTGCCGCGGCCCGGTTTGCAAACCGCTGTCCTCCTCCGGATCTCGAGGGAGACAATGAGACCGTTCGTCCTGCCTGGCGCTGCAGCTGAGGATCTGGCGGGCGGCGGCCAGGCCTCAGCGGCGCGGCCGGCCCGGCCCGATTCAGCGGCCCAGCTGTCCAGCCAGCCTCAGCGGTCCAGCCGGCCCGGCCAGCCTCAGTGGCGCAGCCGACCCGGCCAGCCTCAGTGGCGCAGGCGGCCCAGCCAGCATCAGTGGCGCAGCCCGTCCGGCCAGCCTCATCAGCGCAGGTCGTGATGGCGATATCTAGCGGAACGAGATGACGCCTGGCTTAAAACTGATCTGATGCTATCACACGTAGATGATGAGAGATGGTGTCTGTCGTGAGAACGAGTCGTGTGGTGAGGTGGTGATGTATTGACGAATGACCCGCCCATCCAGAGCGTGTTTTCTTACATGCACCTGCTCTGTCGTGAAATGTGACGAAAGCTGTGACCTTGCGGCGTTTGACATATGACCGCTAATCCGAACCCCATGGTGTGGGAAGCTCGATAATTCTAAGTACCTGGAAATAACGGCGCGCGGTACATTATCTACCCGTTTTTATAGTGAGACAGTTAATCAGTCTTATCAACTCCAAATAATCAGGTTCGTTCTTTTCAATAAGTGTTTGTTCAAGTTTTGAAGTAGGTACGTGAGTCTGGGAACACCGGAGCGCAGTGGGCACCAATAGCGCACTAAAGAACCCGTTAATATCAACCAAACGTGTATCATCTATTATGCCCTTTATATAACATACTGTACTATGCATATCATCTCGTTTATTATGCACTTTGCTTTCCTTGATATCGAAGCTCTGTTCCAAACTTTTTGGGAGCTCGCGGTTTGCATGCGTGCCACTTCCATTACAGCGTCCAAAGTCCCAATCAACGAATGCCAATCACAATGTTTTGTAAGCAGTAGGGTCTAGTGGATCAGCTAGGTGTGCACCTGTTTAGCAGAGGGGGGGGGGGGAGGGGGCGCCACTATTTAGTCTCAGCTGCCGAGTGCGTCGTATATCCTTCATCAAGACAACAACAGTCCGTGATATGCACTGAGATTTGGCAAGAGCCAAACCTCCGCATGCAATTGCTCTGAGGCATTTAACAAGAACCTAGATTTAGCCTGAAATACGGCCAGAGATACAGCAACAACCTGGGACTGTGCGAAGGACCCAGCAAGCGTCAAGACCCGGTGTATTATGATATAAAGGAAACCGAAATGCACAAGCATTTTGCTTGTCATTAGTGTCATGTCCTAATGTCTATCCTCACGTTGAGCTTGAGCGGATTTAGCAGTAAAGTATCTGTTGCAGAATATTAGGTAGCTGCTGGGTAACTTTCGGCTTTTACTTTAAGTCCCCATAGAAGGTCATAACTGATTTTCGGAAAATCAAGTTGTGCACAGAGTGAAATTTGTAGGAGGGAAACAAGGGGTTATCAACCAATTGTTTGTATGCTGCTGCAACTGTCAAGGAACCAATGGAAACCAGAGTGCAGGCTCTGCAGTGTTTGTGGAAAAAAACAAAGGGAGCCGGGAACCAGTGTCGGGCGTTCGCGAGAACCATCGATGAGAGCTAGGAGCCAAGGTCTGATGGTTGCGAAAGGACCGCTGGGATTCCGGAACCGGGTTTGGTGGTTATTATCGTGAAGAGCCAGTGAGAACCAGGAACCACGATTTGGAAACCGCGCATATGTTTGTGACGAAGACAGTCGGTGTTCGTAATGCCATGGCCCATCAAAATAACTACGCATTTGTCTGAAATGCATCTCGAATGTTGGAAACGGACGTGACCAAGAAATCTCATGTTGAACAACAGTAACATACAACAGATAAGGCTCATCAAGACAATACACAATCGCAAGTCACACGAGTCGATAACACAAACACAACTGGCAGGTTGCGAACTGTCGGTATTGTTGTAATATTGTTGCAACTGTTAATATTGTACTGAATGTTATTGTTGAAAACGGCGAGAAAATGCCCGGATCGCTTCGGCGAAGCGTTTCAAAACAACGTCTGGCTCCCAGCCTCCAGCCAAAATCCTCCGCTGGGCGGGCCTGGTGGCCGGGGCAGCTTACAAGAGCTTGCGCCAACCCGCGGTGGTATGTCACGCCCCTGACATCTTGCAGCTGCAGGTTATTAATGGAGGCTTCGCCAGCAGCGGCAACATCAACGGACTGCTGGCAGCGGATGGGCGCCGCGCTGCTTCGGGAGGCTGCAGCTGGCCCAGCCGCACGTTATCATGGATCTGAAGATGGAGCTTTCACCCAGCGGCAGCGGACGGCGGGCGGTCGGTCGCGTCCCCCTGGAATGCATGCGACGAAAAAGATGGCGGACGCCGCATCCAGGCTCCGACCACACCAGGGGTGTTAGACTTTCTTCGCAGAGAGCTGAGAGACCTTCACTTCACTGGCTCTGTTTCGCGCAGTGAAGGAATGTCTGAGCGCTATTGTTTTGGCGCTATTTGCGCTATTGTTTTGGCGCTACTCGCGCTATTGTTTTGGCGCTACTTGACCGTCAAGCTGGACTGAATTACCCCGAGTTATAATCCTTGTCTCTTAATCCTTGAGTTAAGTATATATAAGTATAATCCTTGAGTGTCTCCTGCAAATGGGCACTTAATAATAATAGAAGCCTAACTGAATGGCAAAACGGAACATTTCACGTCTTATCCCACTTCTTGCGCCTCCGTCTGTTTATCTTGGTCTCATTCATGCACACCAGCACGACACGATGCTCAATCCATGCATGCGATACGCGTTTTAAGAGCTCCTGTTTCAGCCACGCCGACCAGTTGTAATGTTTTATTGCCTACCGTGTCATAAAACAGGCCTGCGGTTTCCGTCATGACCCTGTTCGAATGCCAATAATTCATGGCATGATTCAAATTGCCATAATTTTATGATCGTCCGGTTCTAGATCAGTGGAACAGCTTGCGTGAGCTGAGCCAATCTGGCCCACGCGTGTCAGCAAAGCCGCGCGTGGACTCTGTGAATGGCCCAACAGACGCGGAGC